AAGCAATTCAAATGCAACCTTCTGCACACGGTCCTATTAGAGGATAATCCGGTTTAATGGTTATCGCGGAAAATCATTCAACGATCTCGATAGTATAACGTAATTGCATGCAATCTTATGGTTCGCAGATCATATAAAAACCTGTTTAAGCCTATTTTTAAAAAAATGCATTGTTGCGTTAGGGAGAGTCGACCATGAATGGTAACAATATAATATTAATACTTCATAATCTAAATAGTAATGATAGCATATTAATATGCCAAGGCCCTCGGATTACCAGATCTACCGTTCTTGTCAAAGTTAAGTGATGTAATTACCCTGCATTTTTCCTTACCCTAAAGTGAGAATGATCAAAGTGCAATTCCCGTGGCGTTTCTTTTCACCATGGCTGTTTGGATCTAACACGGATGCTGTGCACGGGTGATACTTCTGCGATATTGCGAATATTCTATTGAAACATCGATTAGCTAGATTTCTAACTTCTATTCACATCCGACCAATGTAATGTGTCCCATTATATCAAATGTTTTTAATCATACATCACGTATTACGATAAATGATTAATATGACTGCCATTAGCGTCAGTTTTTGATTGTCAAAAAAAGCGATAGAGGGAGTCATTATCTGATTCAAGTTACGCAAGATCAGACAGATGATATTGATACGCTGCATGGTTATAGTTGGGTTGTGAATCGGTTTAAGTCAATGTAAAAAGAGTACTTTTTGATAGTATTGAACAGTTGATCAGCTTCAACAATTCGAATCGAATCATAGGAAAATCATATGAATCATGACAATACATCCCGTTTTAAACGTTTGTCAATGTTAAGGTTCCGTTCTGATATCCAGTAAACCTCCCAAGTGCAACTTATCCCCTAGTGCAGGTTAACGCGGGGTCCTGCAATTGCACGTTGCCATCTATCGTAGCGCACATCCCTAATTATATTGCAGGCATGTGATATCTTTATAAAATTTTTTATGACTAAAAATCAGAAACACAATACTTGGTCAGGTTGTTGTTACCAAGTGGATAAAACGATCATCTAATCTCCCAATATTATCAGTCGCTCTTCAAGTATGTGTCATTCCAAGCTTGTGAAAATAGAACCGCATTGCGCATATCACCTGCCAGCTTCCGTAACGTGCGTCTCGCTTGTCTCGAAATCATCATTCTCTACAAATATGATTTAGATAATCAGGAATTATTGCGTCAGGACATGTTGGAAATCTTCACATGAAAATATCATATGATCATCTAATGTGGGTAATATATTAATATATGACATGTGAATTGGAAATCTGATATTTGTGTAATATTACAGCTATTACCGCCGCCGCATTCCATCCAATGCAATGGAGATAATTCCTACCTAAATCGAAACGTCACCGCGTTGATTGCGGCCACTAACGCCAATAATGTGAGAATAATGCAGCATTCTAGTGTCAATATGAAGAAAGAACTTGAAAGTGGGCATTAACACGTCTACTAAAGTCAAATTCCTTCATGGCAAATTTCTCGAACACCTTTGTAAACGACGAATAAATTTGCTGCCATGATCTGAATAAGTTTATGGGAAAAAAGTTGGAGGTAAAAAAATGAAACGTATGCTACCTGAACAAAAATATCGGACTAAACTTTTATATGCTATAGTCTTGCTTCTTATAAATCAAGGTATAAGACTAATACTTTGTTGGTCAGCCATTGATCGCAATATATGCTTCGACTCTTCGAGGCATGCGTTTATTTAAATTTATCAAAACATTTGGTTCTATTCCTCCTGTAATACCTCTCATGTTTTAGGCATAACTGACGTTTTCTTGAATCACTCCAATTGACAGACTTTCCATTTTCGAATAGACCAATCCCTTTTTTTCAATACATAATTTTTCTTTGCAGTTCAGCAAGTAAAGGTTTTGACGTCAGAATGCCAAAAAAAAAGACTAATAATTTATTAGAAACGTTTGCTCAATCAATTCTTGCTGTTTGCGTTTGTGTTTATGCTTAAAACTTTAAAATTATTAGGCAGTCACTGCGTAATTAGGTTACGAGATTGTTTCTTTCGAATTTATCCGCGTTTCATAAGACTGTAACATATAAAAAGTTAGCTTCAGTTGTTATTATTATGTACGCTTTATAGCAATTAATAAAGTTGGAATGTCCGATAGTTTTGTCCAGATAATGTCTTGGAGTTCTATTGCGGAGCTTAGCCAAAACCGACCTTCTCTATATTATCTGTATGAAGGTGATTTATATTGACAAAAATTAGTAGTTTCGTGTTTGTGTGAGAATTTCCTAGCTATAATGATGAACTAGCATGATGTTATTCAAATTGAATGACCTCGAAAATTGGTTACGCCTCTCTCTTTTCGATAGCGTATGCATTTACACGCTATATATACATTTTCCGCGCTATATTTGAAAAATTAATAAGAAACGTTATTTGAGAAAATGTCTCGGCAGAAGACATCGATAACATGAACCAGTATAAACGGAAAGCCAGAGTCACTGACCGCTAAAGTGGTAGTCGCAAAGCTTTTGGGGAGATAGTAAACTCAGTTATCCATTGACAAAACGGCAGTCGTCAACACACTGGCGTTTTCAATTTATGACAAGTTTCGTGGAGACTCGCCGCAAACATCATGAGGATGATTGGTTATGTCATGTGTAAATAATGTATGTCTGATATATCATTTTCGCAGTCGCGTTTTTCTTCATAAGATAATGTCAAATTCTGACAAAGTAGTTTTACTGATCCCTGGTCGAATTTTGCTGAGAACGATACAAAAATTTAACAGTTCATCCATACTTTCGTTCCACACAAGCAAGATTTGGACCTTCGACATAACATTAACTGGATGTGTAATAATAACGTTGAGCTTCTTATTTGGACCGCATGCGTGTCGTAATTTTACATATCATCAATAACATTAAACGTGCACCTCTTTGTGTTCGAACATACTAATACGTGGAAAGCGTTTGCGAAGTAAGTACTAATATTTAGGGTTGCCAGTTTCAGGAACAATTGTTGCTGTAGATTTTCTTTGTTGAGTCCAAACTTGATAATTAATATTCCAGTGTCTAATTCAACTTGCTCAATTATAATAAGTTTAAAACAAAATTTTTTACAAAGAATCTCTGTTAATATTAATATCAGGAAAAATACCTAAAACACGTCAAATAATAATGTAAGCTTCGTTATTGTGATTTCAATATGATAAAATTACTTGTTCTTAAATTTTGCCTGCTGTTTAATAGATTAAGTTATTGGGGTATTTTGATCTTAATCTAACATAGCTAGAAAGTAATTGTCGGGGAAATGAACGGATCCCGTGTACAATGTATGCTTGGACACTTGTACGTGGGCAGATATTATTTAGACCATTTTCCTGGACTTTGCCATATAACTGATGTAACTCATTCGATATTGACATATGGTCTTCTCCTGGCCTACATATATTATAGATATTTTAAACGGATCTTATCACTTTAACTGACCGACCTGATTTTCATCGTTCATGGGTGATTTGGACAGGGTACTCTGTAATATTATATTTTACAAAAATATTCCTAAAAAGATAAGAAATTCTTTCCAAATCCCGGATTTGATTTATCTTTATATGCACTGGATTGGGCTGGAAATGGGGTGTATCGTTTTGGATTGATAGAAAATTGTCATCTCCCATCAAATAAAGAAGAGTGTGCCTTATTTGAAGGTGCTTATTAGGATTGGAGGTATGTATATTAATATCCTGTTTTTGACCTAAATTATAATCGTCCAATACTCAATTCATTTGGTTTTGTACAGAGAAAATTAACTGAATGGAAAGCTCATCCGAGAATTACATGCTGCAAACACACGTAGACAAATAATGAGCATAGTCCAACCCTAAACCTTAATGGAACTCCGAATTTAGTATTAGATTGATTTACTCAAATCACTCATCGCATATCATGAGACATTCTGCAAGGGGTTCACGCGTCATCCTTTGATTCAAACTGCTTTAGGCTAACAACTACTAATGTCAACGAATATTTCATTCTATAACTGGGTAGACAGTTAGTGAAACGATAGGAGCTTGCACAATTGGTAATATTTTTCGCCAACTTCAGCTTCAGCTCATCGTTTGAATATAGTTCTTGAATGTAAAATTCCTTTCGAACATTGTGCTATTAATTTAACGTTTATATAATAAATAATATGCTTAGTCGTCATTAAAATATCCTGCGCACTTGATTTCATATCTATGTTGGCAAAATATTTGTTCCGCTATAATTTTTTGGTATTCACATTAGCGCACACTTCTGGTTTGACATGCACGCAGATAACTGATACTGGTTCTGACATCGGACATTTTCAGAGTCCGGGCTTTAAATGATTTTGTATTCTGTCCTGTTTGAATATCTTCAACGGCTCTTGGAACATTTATAAAAATTGTCAATTATAAGAGTCGGTTTCGGAACCATGATATCGAAAAGTGCATCGTCTCCGTATGCTCTTGGTAATTAATTATTTGCCAGGGAGGGTAGGAAACGTAGTTTACTGGCGTATTGATATGCAAAAATTAATAATCTCTAACAGTTTAGGATTAATATTATTAAACACTTGCGTCACGTGATTATTGAAAGATGCAAATGTCAACGCAAACGTTTATTCAGGTCAAAAGAAGAATATTGAAGTCAAATACATACGACACTAAACCTGTCACGCAATCTCATGCCATTATGAGTACCACACTTATTAAACTTGCTTTCCGATATTCGAATATAAATTTTTTATCAATTTAAAAAAAATATATATTATCTGATTAGACTTTCACACTATTTTTCATAGTACTGCACATACCAATCTATTAAATATCGTATAACACAAACAGTTCTTAGCTATCTTCCCAAACGAAGAAGCATTATTGAATTCTTCAACACTGCCATGTAATAACGGACTGAATGGATAATAAATAAGCACTCCAGCAACAACTTGATAGACACATCTGAAACTGTCTTATTTATTTACGTGGGTTTCTGTCACAACAACGGATGTAGCATCAGCATTCGCTAATAAACTTATTCGCACAGCATCGGAATCAATCTTCTTCTCCACACGTGGCATTTCAGTATTTATGGTACATGTAAATGAATGTCTTTTCCACGCATCTTTTCTTGCAAAAGTCTTGTCACAGTGAGGACATCGATGCTGCTTCTCACATTTGTGAATGCCATTAACATGACGCTTCAAATCATGTTTTCTCGTAAAGCGGTGCCCGCACCCAAGGTAATCACACAAGAATGGTTTTACTCGGTGTGGATCGTGAGTAGTGAGATGCGACTCCATATTAAACTTTCGAGAAAACGGCCTATTGCATTTGGGACATGGGTATAGCTTTTGTTTCGATCTATCGTCAACCATTTTATCAAAATCGATGACAGATTGTCGATTGTCCTCAACCTTGGGCGCAATCTTGGGAGCTATTTTGACGACATTGTATTTTGTCGTAATTTCGGGTGTATTATTATTCATGCGAGCATTAGTTGCCGTACCATTGCTGCTATTACCGTCAACACTGCCGTTCGTGAGATTCTCAACGCTAACTTTGTTTGATGCCGAATTGGTCGAGTTGACTGAACCATTTGTAGAATCATTCATTGTTTCAGTCTCGTCTTTCGATTCTTGTGCTTGCCGGGTACTCTTTTTGTTGGAATTCCCCTGTTTATACGCCTCATCATGTTCCGTTTCCGAGCTGACAACGCCATCAGTCGAACGCTCAGTCTTCCTCATTTTATTCTTGGGTGATTCCGAGTTGGGAGTCGGAGGTCGGGGGCGAACGGCAATAGGAGTAGCCCTAATTGGTCTAATAGGTATGGGCATGATGACTTCAGGTCTGCTTTGATCTGTCGTCTCGTGTGACTCCGTTGTTGTCTCTTCCCTTTCAGAAGTTTCTCTTCGTGCAAAACTTGCCATATTGTAAGCAGAATTGATGTTGCAATTATACAACCTTATATAAAGTATAGAGGGCGTTTACCACCGACAGTTGCCGCAGTTTGCTAAAGGCAAGAACACTCAGCGGATTGACGAACATCCAGCTTTTTTCGTCGATGACGTAACGCGTTTGGACAAATCAAAATTTTTATTTTCTTATAGAGAGTCAGCTCTCCTACGCCCAACGTCTACGCCACAATGACTCTGCAACAGCCTGCTACTGTCTCCGGCCTTGAGCACACCATATTATTCGAGTATGAAACTCTCGTGAATAATGTCGAGAAGGTACGTAATCATGGAGAGAATTGGAAGGAAAGATAATATCCGTGTGAACCTGGGTCAGATATACTGTATTTCGACGGTTCTTTGCAAGCTAAAATTATCCTTTGTTGTCAACGCTTGCTCTCCTTTAAAGATGAACCACACTATTAGTCAGATGAATGGTACCGATGTCGTTTTGCTTGTCGATAAACTACGGACTCTTGAGAAAAAGGCTGGACTAGTTTACACTCTTTTCAAGGCTTCTGTATACGCTCTAGTAACATCCATACAAGAACTCGACATGAACGCTGAACAGGGCACCAACAGACCGGTCTTGTAAGGCGGAATGTATTTCATTGTAAATGTAACCAAATAAAAGAGGAAGGGAACTGTCTGCTATTGCGTTTGAATAGTGTTTTTTCCCCTTTGTATGAGATGGGTCAAACTTTTGAGCGAAGGGCAAGCAAGCAAGTGTCCTAATTTCACGTGATGGAATGGATAAAGCAAATGCTACGGCGAGTACTACGGTCACTGCTACGGCAAGCGCAGCGCGAGTTGAATAATTGGGTGCCTCGAATGTCTAGCGATTTTTGGGCATCAGCATTTCTTCAAACTTTAACACATTTGTTTATTGTTTGTTCAATGTTTTGATCTATCTGTTTATTATTGTATATATTACAAAGCTCAAATAGTAGACATTTGAGAAATTAGTGCTTGAAAAACAAAATCAAAAATACTATACAATAGTATTAAATACAGTCAGAATTAAAATAAAAAAAGATTGATTGTTACTATGATTGAGATCGGGAAATGACAGATAATTCCACTTCTTCAGACGGTTCAGCAGCGTCCATTTGCCTGTCGTCTCTATCTCTAATTGAGTTGTTAATCGATAGGCTTGGTGATGGATCACGACTCTGTCTTCTGCGAAATAGCGTAGTTGGTAATGTTCGACTCCGACTTATCGACAACGTTGATAGGAATGTTTGTCTTCTGCTTGAGGTAGTGGCAATACTGTGTGCTCTCTGAAGCTTTTGGCGACTCTGTATTGGTTTGTATATAGATCGACGGAACGTCTCGAACGCACTTTCTTCCCCAGAAAATGCGAATCCAGTGAAAGATTCTCGCCTGCCTGTCGACATGTACATAAGCTGGTCGACCGAACGAACCGATGGCTTGCGTTGATTTTTGCTCTTCAGTTTGAAACTCGGTAACTTCGAGAGGGATAGTATTTTTCTTACTGTGCCCTGTTCTGGCGGATACGTGTTGGAAGAATCGGTGAAAGAGACCTCACTCCCAACATCGGTTGGTAATATGGTACTAGAAACGGCCGTTTCGTTTTCAAATGATGATTTCCGTGTGCTTGTAATCGGCATTTGATCTTCTTCAATGAATACAGATTTGGGTTTCTTTACTTTCTTTTTAGCGTGTATTTGCCCTCGAATAATGTCAGCGTCCATGGGATGATATGTCTGATATATGAATTTCACCAGATAACGCGGTAAAAGACTGAGCAACGTAGCCAAAATGATGGACAGCCAGAAATCAACCTGCGTGAATAATATTTCATCAACTCGGAAGAATCCAATGGAAGACCAAATAGCATATAGTTCGACCCATGCGTAGAACGAGAGAATGCTGAGTCCGATAACCACAAATGCCATCCATGTCCAATTCATTGTGTTCAGTCCAACATACAAATTAGTCGTCACCACTACAGCTCCCGCGACAACAGTTCCTAAATCTTCTAAGCTATTGCTTGTCAATCCGTTCTCGTGTGATGACCCGTTTAGTAAAAAACCGAATGGTATGAAGTAGCAAATGAGAGATTGATAAATCGAGTCCAATACATAGAGCCAAAACTTTTTTCTGGTAAAGTCCTGCTGTAATATGCCACGTTTGTAAAGTTGTGGATGCTCCAATGATGTTTTGGAATTAACATCTTGATCAAAAGCACCTGAAATGAAATAGAAAGAGTAAGTCCTCTGTTGTAAGAAATTGGCCAAATCAACTTGTCGTAATCATTTACCAAGATACATAATTGGAATCGCGGTGAACGCAAGATTATATAGCATAATGTACGTATAGTCATACAAATATTGAGCACTGAATCTACAGGTTGATAAAAGTGTTAAACATCAAGTAAACTCTTTTCATTTCATTTCTGTCGTCAAGAAAGAAAAAAAGAGAAAAAAAATTTACCCTGCCCAAATTTGATACCAGAACATGGCGAAAGTCCATACAATGTTCTTGTAAAAGAAGCACGAAATCATCTCAGCGATTCGAATATATGACCATCTCCCGTGCACAAGCAGAAGTTTGGTCAGGAATCTAAATTGAGCAAAGGCGTAATCAGCAGCCATAACAGCTTGCCGACCTTCCTCGCCTGCGATTCCAATACCCACATTGGCCTCTTGAATCATGCTTACATCGTTTGCACCTGTTAAAGTGATTTTTAGTAAAATTGTTAGAAGACACATTATCGGAATACAAATATCTCACATGTATATTAAATGTCTAATACCATCTCCTATAGACAAAGTCATAACATTAAGTCCATTCTTCACTAGACTCACGACTTTAGCTTTCTGCAAAGGACTGACGCGACAGCAGAGGACACTTTCGCATCTCTTTCCCAAGTCCAATAGTAATGGGCTCAGGCTCTCGTCCAAAGCGTGTTTCAATGTTTCACCATCAATGACCAAAGCATGCTTCTGGGAACTGCCATCTGATCCGGAACCAAAAAACTTTTGAAGACTCTCTTTCAATTGTTTCTCGGTATTTTCTTTATCAGTTGCATGTACAATTATTAGGAGCATATCCCTTTGGAGTAAATTGCATGCGAACCCTATATTAATGGCAGTCTCAGTTTTATCTCCGGTCAATACCCATATTTTAATGCCAGCCGTAGAAAGGGTTGCTATACAGTTCGGAACACCCTCTTGCAGACGATCCTCGATAGCAGTGCCACCCATTAATGTGAGTGAATGTTCGATCAGTTCGTACGCCTCTGCAATCTTTTCTTCTCGATCATTAACAGTTGATGTTGCTTCCGCATATTTCTTTGACCATGTGTTATATTCCTCTTCGGGAACAACACGGTACGCGATACACAATGTTCGAAGACCTGACATAAAATTTTTAATGAGTATTATTTTACTATGTAGCACAAACATATTATAAATACACACCTTCATTAGCAAAGACTTCCAAATCAGCCAAAGTGTCTTCCCTTAGCTTAGATTGTCGTCCTTTTTCCAATCGTTCATATATAACACTGTCAGCACCTTTACATAGCAATACCACACCACCCTCTGGTGGTCTAACAATGACGGACATTCTTTTCCTTGTACTATTGAATTCTAATACGTGCAATAGAGTAAATTCTTTTCGTTCACCCATCACATCTATGATCATTGTGTCTTGAACTCGATCAATAAATACAAATCCGACATCGCGTGCAGCGCCAAGGAGGGCAGCCTCATCAGGCGACTGAGCTTTGTACTCTAGTGCAAAGGAATTATTTTCATCCGAACGCTCCGCAAGAACTGTATGACATAAAGCAAGAGCAGAAAAAAAGTCTTGGATGGCTCTTGATTGTTGGGTATCTGAAGACAAGTCAACCATCACCCTTGAATCGATGAAAGTAAAGTTAGACGACATATATCTATTGTCATAGAGCTTAGACATTTCCGCTAACATAAGGGCTTTTTCATTCTCTAGATCTATTTCATCGTTAGCGTTGGATTCTGAGTCTGACTTTTCCTGTAGCTTGGCGCCTCGTGTAGCGTCCGTCTCACCCAATCCATATGTTACTCCGTTAATCGTACATTTCTTGAATTCCATGACGTTTTGTGTCAGCGTTCCAGTCTTGTCAGAAAAGATGTATTCTATCTGTCCTAAATCGTCTGATATGTTCCAGGTCTTGGGAACGCAAGGAAGATCGAGCTTTTCGTAATACATCTCGATATCCGAATGGATGAAATAAGCCTGCAAAATTCGAAATGGTGAATGTTCGTGGCTATTTAATTACACGCAATATAAACTGTAAAGATAAACACTTACCTGAACTGTCTTGACCATTTCTATGCTAACGTATAATGAGATAGGAACAATATTCTGGAAAAGAATAAGACTTGCCCTATAATCAATTAGGGTCAGAAAGATTAACAGTTGATCGGGTATCAACGTAAAAAAAAATTATTATGAACGGTTGCTAATTTTTGCTAGCATATGAAAAGTCCTACCAAAAGGTGAGAAAGGCGCTTCCTGGTTCATCATCGCCCGGTTCAAAATAATCTGAAGAAGTGACTGGTGGCAGAAAAATGACTGCGTCTACAATGGCAGATCCCAGACACATAAGAAAAAGAATAATAAAATTCATAGTAACCTAATAGAGACATTGAGTGAATAATAGTAAACTAGCAAATGAAGGTATAACAATGGCAATCATCTCAAAAACCTACATGAAAATTGGTTTCGATTTCGATGCGACTTCTCTTGCTAGGAGTATCTCCAGAGTTTAACATAATCTTAGTGTCAGTGCCAGTGTAAATAACTAATCCAATAGCCCACTCAGTATTACGGACAACACAGCCTCGCAGAAAGACGTTGTTTATTGAAATAGGATCAACTTTAGAATCGTCGTTGGACTGAACAGTATTCCCATCGACCCATCGTAAAACGCCTGTGTAAGAATAGAGATTGGAATGGGGTGGCTCGGATTCCACATAGAATGTTGCTCGCTCATAATCAGCCTCACTCTCAAAGGATGAAGTTGACGAAACGCAATGGCGCACTTTCAGGTTAGTCTCGCCATCAAGGTTCTTCGTCTCAACATAGCATAAACCATCAGGCTCGCTCGTGGATAAAATAACCATATCCGCCGGAATGTCGTCGTCATTTTTTAATTTAACTATATCACCAACTTTAAGATCTTGCCAACGCGCTTCAGCCCAGCGAGCAGAACTGGGCGTCTCTCCTACTACTATTTTTGGTATTCCCTTTGTTAAATTGCGATCTTGTTCACCAGAAAACGTGCTGTTTCCCGGACTATTCCTTTGATTCGTATCGGATTGATTATCGGCTTTACCCAGCATTGAACTTAATAACGTAGAGATTGTCGTCCATGCTCTATACAATCGCTTTTTCCATGAATTTCCACCGTCCGTAACGTTAACATTCTGCCAATCAGAAAGTCTTGTAGTAAGCGATCTATTTAGTGCGTTGTCCTGTTGACGACGCTTCCAATCTTCAATTGCATCCTTCACACCAGTTATCATAACAATTGTGGCAAGGGGAGCAGCAGCTGTAACTGGGGAAACGTCACCGCTTAAGGATGGAAACGTCTGAAGAATTACAAGAAATAAAAAATACATATTGGCTACTCTACGGAATTGTTCATACAAGTTCTTTGGTAAAAAAGTGAAAATAGTATATTTTGCTGTCCTTATTTTGTTTGGTACGAAATACATAATAGGGTCTCCATTATGATCTATCTCACTTGGAGGCAAAGGGGTGTTAACATATACACGCCGTTTTGGGAGCGTTTGAGTAGAAGAGGTAGTCGAATTTTGACGAACATCAGTAGAGCCGCCTGACCCACCGTCGGAGTTGCCTGCACGCTTTCGACCAAATATTTTCATTCAGGCGGCTAAACGGAAGAACGAAGAAATAAGGAAGCGCTATATAAATTCCAGTACGATGGTTGATATATGGAATTCGGTGAAGGAATGGGTAGATTATTCAACCTCGGAGCACGTACAATTCAAAGATAGGGTTAGGGTGTTAGTTAAGTAAAGGGAAAGAAAGTAAGTTGTTGTTTAACACCCAACACGATAATTTGGAGGAATAGAACGTGCTGTGTGTTATGTGCCCAGATAAAGGGGAAGGGGGGAAGGGCTTTTAGAAGTTCGGGGAGAAAAAATTGGAAGCAAAGTTAGAAGAGAAAGCAGGTGGTAACCAACTATAGCACTTTAAACGGTTCAGCCAAGTAGGACATGTCAGGGGGGTTCGGGTCTGGATCAACAATTTTACTATATTCGGCTTGTGACATTATCGTTATTTAGCATTATTATTCCCTTTAAGGCATCTAACGAGATCAAATGTTCTTTCCTCAAGGGGGATAATTCAGTCGATAATTTCATATCCGAAATTTGATTACCGAATAATTACGCACATTTCCTTTTCTCTTATTATTTTACAATAGGAATTAAGATTATTGCAAACAGGGCTGATCAGTGTTGTGCTGAAAGGTTATTTTTTGTTTTAGACAACCGCAATAGCAGACTATCAAAACGCATTTAGGATATGATTATATGATTGTGTGTTAAAGAGTAGGTTCGAGTGGACGAGTGTACATTAATCCATGTATCCAATCATAATCCATGTATCCAATCAGCTTGAAAAAACGTTATTAAATGCAGACGAGACAAATGATTCTGGTCAGATTCTTTACTAGCTAGAATCGGTAGATTGAAGAAATTGAAAAGATGTACTGGATTTGACGAAAACGTTTCAAATCTTGGTGTCTACCAGAAATTGACTAATTAACATCTGCATTACATGCTAATTGTTGCATAAACCTTGGGTTTCGAAAGAATTTATTACAAAAACGACCGCTCTTCTCTCATTTCGGTAATGAAACACCTTACATTCAATATAAGTAATAGTAATACAAATAAGAACGCGATTTAGTATGCATAACGAGTAGCTAATAAAGGAATGTAAATCATCATATCCTTTTATTACTGATATGGCACTCAACAACTTTATATATCTGACTTTTCAGGGGGTGTTTATCAAATTTGTCAAAATTTAACATGCAAATGTTTTAATTCCCGATTGGTGACCCAATCGGGTAATTCAAATTTGGACACGCATGGAAATTCTTAATTCTCTAATGCTGACTATTCTAATGGTCCTTTATCGATATTAGAGGCTCACCGTTTTATAATATAGCCTTTTTAAAATCAGGTGACATTGTTCATATAAACAATGTACACGACCGTCTCGTAATAAAGTAACCCGTTAAATCAATTCCTTAAATTTACACCAATAGTAATAGTTGTGCGGACATTGGGTCATAAAAATTCTGTGTTACGGTCGTTATTAGTCAATCTTACTTTTATTTTAAAATAACCAGCTTGTACTGAACTGAATCGAGAGGCCAAATCTACTGAATCTCATTGTTTATTTAGAATTAATACTTTACCTAAATAATACATTTTCCTAGAGAATAGTCTTTCACACTAAAGTAAATCTGTCGGCTGCACTTTCGGCCATTTGTCGGCTCGTGTAACTTGGACCAACATCTTTGTGTGACTGTACGACAATAACCGAGGAGAATGTTCTCCCTGAGAGATTACGTAAATACGGTCGAGTCTTTAACAAAATTATGCAGCATCAAGGAAACTTTCACCTTGGGATCACAATACGCCTCTGTCCGGAGCCATACTCACGCTTTCTAGAGATTACCAGCCAGCAAATTGAGAGCAGTATGTTTAAATTAACGATTTTTTGCCATTGTTAAGCCTTCAATCAATTATGGATAATTATGCGAGGGGGAAAAGTATATGATTAAGGCTCATCGTTATGAAAATCGCATGACGAGAGACAGAATTGGTTATTGTAGTTCTGACGATACATTCACGATTGAGTACAATGTTTATTCTCAGTCGTATTAACTTGTAAGATAGTCGATAAAGTACACTCGGTATGATTATTTGATGAATTATAATTTCAATAACGAAAAGTTATTTATAATACATGTAGACAGGAAGCGACTAGTTTGACTTTACTTCAGTTGGTAATTGTAAATTTAAGTTATCAGAAAACAGCTGCAAATTTGTTGAGATAGTAACTGCAAAACAATTAAATAAACATACTCATGTATTCAACACTTAGTCTTAATTTTGTTCTGGGCTTTTCCGTTAGAAATCGACGAATTCAAAATATCAATATTCTTTCTAAGATGGCCGATTCTAGATACTTTTGCTAGTGCTTACCAATAAGTAATCACCACAAGAGTTAGTTATGTCTTCAGCTTTAAACCAGAAAAGCTAGTGATACCTGTCATTACAGTTTTACAACTCACACTTACTATTACTGATGCTCTTGCTGACAATTATATCATGCCACAGTAACCGGTCCATTTTCTATTAGACGTAATCTTATTTCAATAGCAAGAAACTGATGATAAATAATAAGTTGTTACCGTAGTAGACGTCAACGTGCTTCGGCATTTATTTGCGACCGATTATTCCACAGTTTGTAATAACAACGAAGAAATTATCGATTCTTAGTAGCGTAATGGCGAAAAACGGCGACGCCACGATTTTGCCATATCGCGCCAAAAGTATGTCTAAATACAAATAATGCAAAGTCGTAAATGGAATTGGGTTACTTAGCATACTTTACGACTTTTGTGTAAACTTTTGAAAAAGCCGACAAACGCAAGCGCTTATAAGCTTGTATGATGATTGGTCAATGTTAATGTACAGTGTAATGCATATCTATTGTGAGTTATGCGAAGAGCAATAATGTAAATATAATTCGGCCTTTTCCTTTCACTGACAAACTTTCACTTCCATATGAAAACGCTGCAATTTCCTGGGATGATTTCAGCATGTGAATTTACCGACAGTGCGAGCAATCCCATGTCGAAATATTTCATTAAGACAGTTCAGTTTTTGCAAACAAAAGTTTACGTATTATAATAGTCGATAAAAATTGGTACAAAAATATTTTTGTATTTTACTGGAATAGACGTATGGATTAGGAATCTGAACTATTGTGTGTCATTTTATATGTTCAAAAGCGTCACTTAATATTCCTTTAAAATACTGTAATATCATTATTATCCGTAACCTGTCTATCATGTAGAATCAGTGTTGCGAATAATTTTTTTTCATAAGTGACTGAAATCTCGCCTTTTGCGACTGAGCAACCCGAAACACTATTGATATGTTATGTAAGTGTCCAAACATTGGAATATATAAGACGTTGTGAACACGCATAAGATCAATTTAATATTAAACTAATTCGAAATTTTTTAAACATATTTATGCTAACTCCCCGTGCTCTGACGTCTCCCCTTATTTACATCAAAGTCAGTACATGCGCTTCTGTGTCAATCAAATGCTTTTCTCTCTATACAATCGGAACTCTGTTGTCCAGCAGGAAGACAAAAGGAATTGTGTTTATTTATAAAGAACGTAATAAAACAAAAAATTTACGTGTTGATAATAAAAGGATCGAGCCAAAATGGCATGAGACAATGAAATTCTGAGCGAAATGCAACACCTGACCATCATCATTTAGACATAGCATCGAATATACTCGCATGAATTGCCTCTCAAACAAAAAATTAGTAGTAGTCTTAAAGTCTTCGTCTACTGTATGATCTTTGTCATTACATAGAAATTCAACTATTGCATACTTTTTTGGAATTGTTATTCCGATTCCAGAACATCGAGAACACTAGATCACTGAATTATGATTACTTGTCTAATGCTAGCGGTTGCGATAAAAGTCGGAATGCGCGTGTGCTATTATTACTTATCACTTACGGTACTATTACTATTAGATATCCTATATGCTAACAGAAGGACGAGAATTAGGAAAAAAGGGCTTCTCAGAGTACAAACTGAGGGTAATAATAAAACTAATCCGACCGACATTACACGCAATCGTCACATGCATCAATGGAAGTACCTACCATTAAACTCGGGCCCAATCATTCTCATCTTGAACCGGTTTATTATTCTTTCGGCGTTACATTAAAATTTTCCTTTTTCGTATCAACATTGGTAGCACTGTTCTTAAGAACAATATGTGTGAATTGTAAAATTTGATATTTCTAACTTGTTCACCTAGTTCATCCTTAGGCCACACGAAGTCTGGAGTCAAACTCGAAAAAACAAAGTGCTAGATTTTCCATTCGAGGCATAATCACATGATATCCTAAGTTTTGTTTATAGGTGCTGGAAATTAAGACAATCAAATATAATCCTAATCGAATCAAAACAGCACAGAATTCAGTAAACCATTTTCTCCATCTCATTCGCCTTGCCCCATTCTTCTGAAGATAGTCTTTTGAATTCTGGTTCCACCGTTGAGTAATATTCAATTCAAGTCTCGGATGGGATGGGACAAGGCCGTTAGTAATATATTGACATGCTTAACTTTCTTCGAGATAGAAACATGCAGGCTGTGAAACAGGTGTGTAAGGTACCTTTTTTATCTGTTCTTTATCTATCCCCAATAGCTGACCATCGAGTTTATTTCAATAACAGCTTGTGGTAGTACTGCTCAGTTTCTTTACAATCTTCGCATCGGCACTGATAGCATGGAAAAGCTTGGGGACGTATATGAAGACTCTAACGCCTATTATAATTGTGTTTAGGTGCGATGTCATCGTACTATTTCTTCTACTTTATTGATTGCGTCGGTGAAGATGTAAAGATATTAATATTAAATTTGAAATATATATAGTGAAAGCATGGAACCAGCCTTTCATAGAGGTGGAAGAAAATACAGTGCTCGGCTTTTCGATTACTCACATTCTGTGTGCAATATTCATGTTCAATTCTGCTACCAACTCAGGCGATTTGTTGTTAATTAGTACGCCCGATGAGCCAATCCAAGTGGGAGACGTAATAGCGTATCGAGTTAAAGGCAACCCTATGCCAATTGTCCATAGAGTGATAAAGATACATGAAAAGTACGTCTGCTTATTGATGCGTTGAAATATAGGCACGTACTAACCAGTCATTTTCATTGCAGTAAACAACTTGATTCAGCGTACATTTTGACCAAGGGTGATAACATCGACTTTAATGACAGAAGTCTTTATTACACGGACCAGTTATGGGTTAAACGTGAAGATGTTATTGGAACAGTCCGGGGGTAAGTAGGTAATATGCTTCTACTGTTTTTTGATAAATCCGTTTGCGCTAATTAGATCTTATAGGTTTATACCATATATCGGTTACATTGCGATTGCAATGAACGAATATCCAGGACTTAGGTGGATATTGGTGCTCGCAATGGGTTTTTGTGCTGTCGTATATAGAGAACAGCTGTAATGGATTGTTTTCATTATAACGAAAGTTTGAGGAATGCGAGCATCAGCCTATTATTGTATATCTCTTCGTTGAAGCATGAACATTATTTCTTTTCATTTTGTTTCACAGATCATAATGATATTAGACTTTCAACCATCATAATAAGGAACAGATTAATGTCAATTAGAAATACCATTACATATTTTAGATCAGTCACAATAAACGAATAGTTACGACATGACGCTTACCTAACCAAATTGACTAACCTCTAAAAACGCTTTTTTGCTTTTTTACTATTATTATAAAATATGGTTTCGCTGGCGAATAATATTTCCATGTGACTGATCGCTAATTTTGAAGGCAGAAAGTGGGATGTTACACGATTCTCAAAAATCAATTTATCTTCTCTGGCCACTCCATACTAAAAAAGCAAACAGTTTTCTGCTCACTGTCGTTGCCTCGTTCTTTCCAGCCTCTTAATAAAGACAAACCAAAATGCCTCCGCAAAAGACTACAGACAAGAAACGTCAGAGTCGCCGAGCAGACCCAGTTGGCGTAGGGATCCCTGCCAAACCTCGACAGCGATCTCGGAGACCAATAGAACCTCAGGGATCTGCTAACGGCGACGTAAATCAAGCGGATTCTCAGACATCATTAGACCCAATTCAACAGGCTAGATTTGATATTGGTAACGAAATAACGTCGCCGGACGATAGTGTAGTAGTTGGTGCCTTGCTCAAACTTAAGACTAATTCACCACTAGTGCACACCATCCCTACTCTCGATAGCGATTCTTCCGCTCGGCGGAAGAAGCCAAAAAGTACAACTATTGATCCTAGCACTGTACAAAACGGTATACATGGCCATAATTCACTTACGACATACCAGAATGTTTTAGCGACGGGTCAACATACAACCCAAATGTCGCAACCTTCAGACTCGGAATCAGTGGACATTGAGATCGACCCTTCAATACGGCATAACAAAGAACACTACAATTCTGAAGTTAAAAGTGATATTAATTTAGACACTTCACATTCTTCACATGCTTTTGGACATATCGAGAATATTAGCACATACGTTGCCAATGGTACGTTAATACCGCCGAACTATAATATGGGAAACAACATGTCATATACACATAGTACGAATACATGGGGTAGCATCAATACATCTGCTCCTCATCGATTACCGTCTCATAATTATAACATGAATATGATGCCATATTCAGATATAAAATCGGAAGAAATAGCGAATAAAAACTCTCATTCTAATTTTCATTGCTCTTCTCGGACATCTTTACCCATAACTCAATCGGAAATACCCGATGAAGCCAGTTCAAAGAACATAGCAAGAGGAACTCAGAAAAAAACTGTCGATGCGGCTACGCAGACATGTCCACCGCAGTATAGATGGCCAATTGATGATGTCTACAAAAAGACAGACAGGTCGTCAGAGTTAAATTTCAGGACATCACAAAATGCAAGAACATTCCCTGTAAGACAAGACTCACAAGACGACTTGCCAGAATCTCGAGGCACGGCACAAAAGCGCAAGGCAAAGGATAGCGAATTTGACTTGCGCAGTGAGCATGCAGACTTTTCCGAGCATCAATTGTCAAAACGTGGAAATAAAAGGGCAAAGAACGATAGAGATCCTTTGATGACTCCAGAGGAATGGAATGCTTTTTTACATTCTACTGGATTATCAAATTGGCCGTGGGATAGAGAGGATATATTACGTGTCGGCACGTACTTGTTTGATGAAATTTTCTCTCACTCATGGGCAGTAGAGTTTGTTAGTCCCGTTCCCGCACAATACGCGGTATATCATAATGTTATAAAGAAGCCGATGGATTTAACCACGGCAGAGAAGAAATTGTGGGCTGGAGATTATGTATCACTTCTTGACCTCTATGCCGATTTGTGCCAAATTTTGTATAACGCGTGGGATTTTCATAGACCGTTTGCAGAGAAGTCAGATATATTCACCTATGCTAAGAAAATGTCTTTATTTCTCGAAGATTTCATAAGGTGGGATGTTAATCAATACATTGATTACTCATATTTGATGTCCAATCCGCACCCCGGCAGCGAACAAACTGCCGCAATGAAAGCACATCTGCGAGAAGTCCTAAAATTACCGCACGAGAAACTTAACGAGCTATACATAAAGTGGGGTTTCCCTGATGTCCACATACATGTTGAAAGTCCAATATACATTCTCCCAACTCTAAGTGCTGACGAGAACAAATCTCCGTCTCGTGGACTATTGAAACATATGCTTCGTCCAGAAGTTAATGCATGTGGAGGGTTCAATCCCCTAAACAGGATAATGAAGGACACTGTTGCCAGGAGGATTGATGTTTATGGAGACTCTATACGCTCTATTCATGCAGAAGATAGCTTACCTTCAAGGCGTATAGATCCAACGCAATCAAGTCGTAACTTTTTTCGACTATACATATCTGGCGGTCGCGAATCGCTTCAACGATGTCGGGACGAGTCTGACGCAATTCTTTTGGTTTTGTCGGATATAAAATTCAAATATGATATACACGAGATTTCTTGTAAAGCGCTAATTGCCAAGCCATTTGGTGACATACATCAATTGCCAACTATTGAATTTCCAGAACTATTCGACGTTCGGTATTGGATTAAATGTATAATATTGGATCGAATAGATATCGACTTAATCATGTCAAGTGCGTTTCAACATCGCTGTCTGAAGAGTGCTCATAAGGTAACCCTATATGGCAAACATATGGTACAAGAACATCCGGAAAGACATAATGCTTTCATGGATGCACTTCGATTGACGCAACAAAGAGACAATCTTACAGAATCTCAAGGTGTTATGGGCAGTATCAAATTAGGTATGTTGTCACAGTACAGATGTGTTGTGAGGTGTCGAAGATTTAGGCGTATGTCAACAGATAGCCTTTATTTACGAATCCACCACTTCCTAATAACAGAAGCGGCAGCTCTGAATGTTCCCTTTGAGAATTTTCAATCAATGGGGGATTCGTTAAAAGTGGAGACTGAAGGATTTTTCAAGCGAGTTTTCCATGTTCACGATGATGATAGCTACGTTGTCCAAAACTTTAAGGAGATCACCGAACAGACATTTGGGGCCCGTGTTGTAGAAACTGTTTGTTGTCTGTAAGTATTACAGTATTTGTCACAGTTACGCGCAGGACAAAATTTTAAAGAATTCGTTTTAATTGTACATGTCAGTAAAACTAAAGGTGTGGAAAACACTGGACAAATAAGGTCAATCTATACCGGAACGGAAGATGAGCTTGTTGGGCTGTCAATGAAAAGGTGAGTTGAAAATAGGATAAAGTTTCTGAAAGCAATATTTGTTTGTGCTTTGCTTTCGAGTTTAGTTTATTCATTGAACGTACTAACTGATTTCCTTCTTTTTTTTTGCAACATTATAATTTAGATATCAATATACTCTCAAAGATTATGCTTTCAACAGTCGTCGCCATTTAACAGCGGAACAAAAATACAAACTAGTACTTGATATGGTTAAAGGCGTTCGTGCAATACATAATGCAGGGTTCGCTCATAGAGATTTGAGCGAGGTAAACATAATGGTCACTGAACGAACTGACCAAAAACTGCTCGATGGAAGTAATACACCTGAACTGGTTATTATTGACTTTGGCAAGGCCGAATTCGTAAGACCGGAAGATGTGATGCGTTGGAAAGTTAAAGAAATCTCCTCAGAAACTTTAAATCTTTTACCACTTATTCAGACTGGCCCTGATCATGGATATCTCCTTTATAGGTATGTTAAACTGGGTTTTAAATCTACAAAGATACAAATACATTTTGAATATCATGCTTATGATCTATGCTGTATAATTTAAATATAGGTCCATTGCTACCCTTCCTCGAACTAAAAACGATCAAAGAATATTGCCAACTCCTATAGATCCATTGGCTGAGGATATATACTCACTAGGTGTATTAATCTGGCGAACATTCTCTGGCCAAGCCCCTTGGGATGGTATTCTTGACTCTGATTTAAAAAGCCTTCGCGGAATCGTCTCTGACGCGGCGCAGATTCGGTTCTATATTGAAAAGTCTATACGCGGTCAGACATCTCGCGAGTTGCTTTTGCGATGCATCACCGTTAAACCTCAGACACGCAATACCGCTGAAACGTTATTTAGGTGGCTATCACATCCGGACGTTAAGGAGGCCCTATTGAAAGAATGGACAGAGCTATGTGGGAGGCCTAGAAAGGAACGGATTGTATGACGTTTATTGCACGGATTGCGTTGAGGGAGACATTGAAATTTATTTATCTGACTTTTCGAGCTGATTGTAATTGCTTTCGGTGAGAAATGTTGTATTTCTACTGGATGGTCACAAGAAAGACTCTGAAAGAGTTTCCAATAAACTTGTTTCCGAGCACCGTTTATTATATTCCCGTCATATTCTTCTTCACTTCATCCGAGTAATGTTGTAGATATCTTTTGCTTCAATTGGCTTTAGATTAAACCCGCCCATTCTCTCAATATTTCCTTTTTCAATTTGTTCAAGCCGAGTACTCTTTTCTTTCATATTTTCGTGAAGTTTCGATATCTCACTGTCCAGATGTTGTTGATCTGTAATTATAATACACACAAAAAATAATCAATAAATAATATAATTATCGTAAAGCAGAGATCAAATCTCTTACCTTTGTTAACGAGTGTCTGCACTTTGTCCTTTTCCATTCTAATAAACATGTCACCTAAGTTAATCCAGACTTTGCTTTCATTCTTCAACTCTTTTTTCAATTTATTAAGAGCTTCGCGATTACTATTACGTTTCCTATCATAATCGACAATCTATTCAGATATTAGCAAATAGCAATATTGTTGAAAAAAGTTTCATACTACTACTTACTGCCAATTTGTCTGTCAATATCTCATCGGCTATGCGTTCTCGCTCTTCAAGGACTGAACAAAAATACTTTTTTAGAACATAAAGCCGGTGATTTCGTTTGTAAAACCAATCTACGCTTCTCACCTGGCAAGATATCCATGCCGGAACTTGATAATCAAAATCAAATTATGCCCTTCTTGGTGTGACATCGACTATATATTACGCCCCGCTATCTTTTGCCAGTATCTCTTTGTAGCTAACTCGCTCGTTTATTCCAAAATGCCGTATTCTAGTCTCTTCCGTTCGGAAGAGATGTCATTGATACAACTGTACATTCCTTCAGAAATGGCACAACCGACTGTTGCGGAATTGGGAGAGTTGGGTCTGATTCAGTTTAGAGACGTATGTGTTGCGTACTTCTTTCTGAACACTTTGAACTAAAATGTACATATACCAGTATTTGACCTCTTGTGAACGTTCAAACAGCTAAACCCTGACGTCAATGCCTTTCAACGTGCATTTGTGTCTCAAATCAGACGCTTTGACGAAATGGAGAGACAACTTCGTGAGTATCCGTTGATATTGGTAATCAATAAGAGGCTCGTGTTTATGAACTGATATTCTGAGATATGTATATCATTAGGTGCATGTCTCTTGCAGACGAGCAAGCTATAGTTTTAGTAATTATTTGGAGAAACTTTATTTGTTATGCGATCGACTAAAAGTTTGAATTGATAACCGTTCCCACATTTATATATGCTTGGATGTTTGATTACAGGTTTCCTTACTGTCCAAATTGAAAAATTGGAGATACCAATACGGCCGCTTACTGGTGATGTGTCGACAGTCCGTGCACGCAATGTGCAAGAAATTGACGAGTTGGAAGAACAGATAAATGTATATGAACGACGCATAACGCAAATGAATAACTCTTATGAAAGCATGCAGAAGCGTTATCTAAGACTTACGGAAAAGAGACACGTACTCAAAGAGACAGGCGTATTTTTCGAACAGGTGATTTTTATCAAGATGGAATCGTGGACATGATCAGAGTATAAGCAAATATTGACTTTGAGTTATTTCAGGCTGAATCTCGGCAAGAGGACATCCGTCAGTCGTTCGATGAGCCAACCACACCTTTATTAGGTCATGCAGACTTGGAGCAAGGACCCAGCGGAGTTGCAGGATTGACCCAATTAAATCTCGGGTGAGCAGCAAACTCAGTGTAGAAGAATTTACGTTACTTAATACGCGAATATTAAATGTAATTTGACTACTGTACAGATTTGTTACTGGGGTAATTCCTCGAAAGAAGATGCAGACATTTGAACGTGTCTTGTGGCGTGTTCTTCGTGGTAATCTCTACCTCAACTATGCCGAGATTGACGAACCGATTGTTGATCCATCAACGGATGAGGTTGTCGAGAAGAATGTTTTCGTCATCTTTGCACACGGAAAAGTACTGCTAGATAAAATAAGAAAGATATCAGAGTCATTGGGTGCTACTCTCTATCCAGTAGACGATAGTCCCGACAGAAGGCGCGCAACTCTTGCAGAAATTACATCGCAAATTGAAGACCATACCAATGTCATTCAAACGACCAATAACACGCGGAGAGCGGAGCTGACGAAAATCGCGGAAAACTTAACTGCATGGATGACTATTATCAAAAAAGAAAAGGCGGTTTATCACACAATGAATCTTTTCAATTACGATGTCACTCGCAAATGCTTGATTGCAGAAGGCTGGTGTCCTCAAAACGATCTTCATAAAATACACAGAGCAATAAGAACGGCAACAGTAAGTCTCTCGGTGGCGAAAAATGTTGAATGGTTCCTGGTGAAGATTCAGTGTTTGAATATGTTTATTAATTAAATTGTATTTTCAATCTTTTTATCAAAACACGTATCACAAAGGAAAATTTTGGATCTAATGTATCAGCTATTTTGAACGAATTACGCACGACAAAAGAACCGCCAACCTTTCATCGTGTCAACAAGTTTACAAGTGGCTTCCAAGAAATAGTAGATGCATATGGTGTAGCAAAATATCGCGAAGTTAACCCCGGACTATTCACGATTATCACCTTCCCATTCTTGTTTGCGGTCATGTTTGGTGATTTTGGTCACGGTTTTTTATTAACACTCGCAGCTTTATACTTGATCTTTAACGAAAAGAAATTTGAGAGGGAAAAGTTGGATGAGGTATTGATGAATTTTAACTTTATTTTATTGAATTTACTGCAACGTGAGTCTAAACCGAACCCAATATTTTACAACATCTCCAGATTTTTGAGATGTTTTTCGGTGGCCGCTATATAATACTACTCATGGGCTTGTTTTCGATATACACGGGCCTGATTTACAACGACATTTTCTCACGCGCTGTCCAAATAGCTGATTCAGGATTTAAATGGCAGTGGCCGGAAAACTATACAGTTGGACAGGCGGTGGAGGCGGCACAGGTCGGAGTGTATCCGTTTGGTGTCGACCCGGTAATGTATTACGGATTGGCAATTGCCATTATTTTATGAAGTGTTTTAAAACTGATTTGTTTATCCTTTTTAAGGCATGGCATGGAGCCGACAATAGTCTGATTTTTATAAACTCGTATAAAATGAAAATGTCAGTTGTATTTGGTGTAATCCAGGTAACTGTATAGTTGCTTTGCTTTTCTTTAAAAAAAAAGACTTTTATTTACTTGACATTAACCGTATTCTGTTCTCATTAGATGAGCTTTGGTATTGTGCTTACAGTATTTAATTACACGTACTTCAAGAAGAAATTGAGCATATGGACCGAATTCCTCCCACAGATACTTTTTATGCAGTCTATTTTTGGTTATCTTGTTTTCACAATAATTTATAAATGGTCTGTAAATTGGTCTGAGACAGACTCAGATGGTCAGTTAATTAGACACAGTCCACCTGGCTTGCTTAACATGTTGATCTACATGTTTTTGCAACCGGGAGCAGTAGACCCAGAGGACGAACTTTATTCTGGACAGGTAACATTTGTCATACGGTTTCCGTGTGTTGGATTAACTAGAGTTTGTTTTGTTTGCGTTAATTGTTAAAAACTACATATTAATACAAGTATATTTACAGGCAAGCGTGCAACTTTGGTTGCTTATTATTGCATTTATCTGTATCCCGTGGATGCTTCTCGCAAAACCCCTCATTTTACGGCATGAGCACAATAAAATACGAGCTATGGGATACCAACGTCCATTGCAAGACACCGCAAGTATTGCGACGGAGGAAGATATTGACTTTGCGGCTGCGGGCAGTGTGGCAGAAGAAATGCATGAAGAGGAGGGATTTGATTTTGGAGAACATATGATACATCAAGTCATCCACACGATTGAATTTTGTCTGGGTTGCATATCCAATACAGCCAGTTATTTGCGTCTGTGGGCTTTGAGTCTGGCTCATGCTCGTGAGTAATCCGCCTTGAAATACTTCAAAATACTTTAGAGTAACATATTACGTTGACTCATATATTCATTATGCGTTTGATAGAATTGTCGGCTGTGCTTTGGGATATGACACTTAAAACGGTTTTTGGAATTTCTGGAGTTCTTGGCGCTGTTGCTCTTGTTGTTGCTTTTGCCTTGTGGTTTTCCTTGACTATTGGAATTCTTCTAATCATGGAAGGACTGTCTGCTTTTCTGCATGCATTACGTCTGCACTGGTGCGTTATTAAATGCTTTGAGAATTTTCCTCTCTCTTTTCTACTGTGCTAACATACGCCCAACTTATTTCTTAGGGTTGAATTTAATAACAAGTTTTACGAAGGAACTGGGAGAAAGTTTGAGCCATTCTCATTCAAATCTATAGTGAAGGATAAAGACGATTAAACACAAAGACTATCATCGGAAGCTCGCCTTGAAATATATATTGAAATGGTCATATGTATCAATACTTTAATTGGAAATAGTATTAATTTATCAGAAACAAAGTACGCGTCCAAGATCAAACATATGTTTGTAGACCACTACATAAGTAGTATATTAAAGACTTCACTTGTCAACTTATACGGTTGGGAAAATGGTATAATAGTAAGAATTCAAACCTGGTTAAAAATATAAAGCTCTGAGGGAAGAAAGCTTTCACATCGTCTTCCGAACTACTGCTTGAGAAGTCGCTTTTTTTTTCGTTAATGCTGTCATCGTCAAGAATAAAAACACAATCATTACACATTTTCAACAAATTAATTATAATATTAATATTAATATGGGCTGAGTTTATCTTATATTTATTATTTTCATGATCTTGGTAATGAATTATGACCTCAAAACTTATTGTTCAATGTATTAGTATTGGCATTTTTACTTGAGAGACTTATACTACACGTTATACTGTATATTGGAGTGAACATTTGTTAATTATAATTAATGTTCTGTTATTATTATGGTTTATATCCTATATTAATCACATTCTGGTGTGATAAAGTGAACATCAAAATTAACAAGTGCATAAGTTATGAGAGTGCCATTATTATTATTGCTTTTCAAAATGCCATTGGTCTCACTGGTCAATTTACAGCCACATAATCAGCTTCTCGTTATGTCACATAATAGAATGTTCACTTTGTCTGGTTTAGGTTTTGTTACAGTCTGCCCCATATAAGACTATTTACATTAAATCCACTATGGAACCAAAAAATTACAGCACTATTAGAAACATTTTGAAGAAAGCTCAAGGAGAAAAATTGTCCCTTAAGTTTTCAAATAAATGGTACTCAAACTCTCCAGGAAATTCATCAAGAAGAACAAACAATAAACGAGCATTAATATTAATATTAATGCCAACACTTGATAAATAAAAAAAACAAATTAGAAGAAACATAAAACGAAATGGCTCTTTCTTTGTTAATAATTATGCAGCTTCATAATTTTGAAATTAGTATAAAACCAGCAGCATTTCACCCAAGTTTTCGCTAAAAAAAATTACAATCGATCGAGTTGCAACGTATTACACGAAAGCACACTTTTATCGTCTACAAAATCAAATAACTATCCCACTAAAAATGTTCACTTTCGCTATTGAAATCTGCGAGTTGCTATCAAATTGTGATTATTTCCAAAAGCAGAAGCAATCGTCATTTCCATTACGTGACTACTGTTCTATCAATATACAATGACTCGAAACATTGTTCCATAACGCGATACGCAAAGTAGCGTATAAAAGGGGTTTCCTTTGTTCTGACAAAGGCATGGAGAATTTCTGAGCTATTTTATAAGTGTGCTGAGACCCAACGGATTCGGTAACTATTACTATAGTCGATTTACCGCTTCAATACGGAAAAGGATCACATATTCTTGGGTATAGGTATGCTAATAGCATTCTGTATCTTCTACAGTTGACATTTACATTCGCCACAATTTTAGTTTTGGATCTCCATTATTATTATTATGTCAGAAATATCAATTGAGTGAAAGAAGGGTGTCATGAACTTGAGAGCGGAACAAACCTGCTTTTATGGTGAGTAAGAATTATATAATTTTGTTGTAGGTTAGACTTTTCAAGATATATTAATATGTTTTGTTGTATTGTGAGAAAGTCGACTATTCCAAAACTGCCCATCCTAACAGGGATACATTCATCAAATAATAAAGAAAACTTTATTATGTGGTGAAGATTTAAATTTAGCCACTTATTTTGTTCAATAATTGTCTAATAGGTAACATAGACATGATCATTCAATGTGTCAGCGAATAAAGTTTTTAGCAAATAAATAATGGTTGCTTACTATTGGAATTTGGCTTATGGGTTGTTTAAATTTTAACCATTTCACTTCGTAATATTATGTCCAGCCAAAGCTGTATAGGTGAAAGTGAGATACAATGTATTACATTTAAATTATCACTTAAGACAAATGTAAACATTAGCAGTCGAATTGGTTAAAGTGGTATTTTTGGGGGGGGGGAGGGAAAATTTAACAAACAGCCTTTCCTTTGTTAATACTAGCGTAAACAATCGTGATGTAATTATTCATCATCAAATAGTTGTACAATTACAACCTCGCCTTGGTGAAAGTAACGCATCTTCTTTTAAACCGACCGCTAACATGTACCGACGAAGGAACTTCTTTATTCAAATTACCATTTTTCTTTGCTCCTTGCTATTTGCTGTAAACGCCGCTCGCAATGGTCCGTGTGTCATTCGTGGTGTCGCCCAAGGTGTTTGTGTTCCCACCAGCGAATGCTCTCGTGCGGGAGGGACGTACCGGTCAGGCTTCTGCCCCCAAGATCCGGAAGATATTAAATGCTGCTATAAACGTCCCTGCGCACCAGGTTTTGCATCAAGTTGTCAGTGGCTAGGCCGACAGCCTTGCTCTGGACGTCACGAGAGCGGTTAGTAATAATGTTTCTTTTTAAGTGATTGTAGAATCTTGGTTGATAATGTGTTTTTTTTCACAGGGTTATGTCCTGGACCTTACGATTACCTTTGCTGTATTTATAAGTGAGTATAGTACGATGCTTTTAGCTGATTTTCGCATTCCAAATCTAAAGCCAGTTTTTCCAAAGGATTCAACCTTCACTTGTCGGGCTTAGTTAATTCAACTCACAAATAAATTCGTCGGTATAAATTTGTTTGCTCTAAGATTTATTGAGTTAGAGTTGAGGATTAGCGGGATAGTCGTATACAGACCACTTCGGTGTGCAACGCGCATTTATGTAAAATTAACAATTTTATACTGTATAACTAATTTAGAATTAACTTCCTTGGTATTAAGCCGTCAGACGCAAAAGCTTGCAAACTATTATATGCCATAATGTGCGATTTTATTGGTTACGCGGATTCGTACTACATACTTTGGATAAAATAGGTATACAGTCAAAGCTGGTTATAACGAATTCTACGGGACCAGAAAAAATATTCTTTATAACCAGAAATTCCTTATAACGAAGGAGCAGAGCCAAATTAATAGATATTCATTAGACTTCATACACAAAATTTTTAAGACTAGATATTTATACTAGTCAGATCCGTTGGTGCTGTTATAAGTTTGTTGCAATTGATTAGTAATGTCGTTATTTGTCACGAAAACATACGGTTTGTCTGGGACTTTGATCTGGTAAGTCTTATTTAGAATATTAAACCCAACCAGACCACAGTCAACATCATCGGAAACAGAAATCTGCCAATATAGTTCTTGAGTCGATCCAATCTGTCCAATTCACACCATCGCCCAAAGGAGACTTCCCCAGGGCTCAGAAACCTTCTTCATTAAGTTTCCGCCACCGTAGCCAGTAGCATCTGTACTCAGTGAACTCCAACCGCGACGTTTCGGCAGCCTGGCCTTACTAGCCGAAAATTGCGATTATAGTAGTTATCTTGCTCAATATTTGCCATTGTTGCTGTAATATTGGGGTGGGCTTTGTTTCGAATCCGTATGTGCACCTGATATTTGGCAAAAACTATTTCCAACGATGCAATCATTATTGTACATGAAATTGTGTAAGCACAAACCTGCCACTCCTTTTTTGTGCCATCTTCAATGGAAGAGAATTTCGCACAGACCACCTCTTGGACAACAGGCCCGTACAATGCTCCCGGATGTTCCGTGACGAGTTTATGGTATTCCTCGCCTGATAATTCTGACCCATAGCGAACTAACTTTCCGTCGATGATCAAGACATGACTACCTTTAGATTGGTCAAGCTGTCCAGCCTCGGATAAGCGACGATATGAAATGGTGTTTTTTCTCCTTCTCCTTCTTCTTCTCCTTCTTCAGGATGGACAATATTACATCGTTTAATGACTGAAGAGTTTGAAGTATCCTTTCTAAATGTTGATTGACAGTACTTTCAGTGACATCGTCAATCTGGTTGTTGTCAATGTTCAATGATTAGACGCCTCTCGGAAGTTTTCATTGTAGGAGGCCAAGTAAAATAAGGACCAACGAATTCTGCGAAGTGATAACAGAGAATATATGAATTAAAATATATGAATTAAGATGCAATCAAGAAGGGTCATATTTTTATTCACCGTAAAATTTCTCTATGTCCTCGTCCGTTAATGGTGGTCCGTATTTTCGCAATTGATCGAGGTTCAGTTTTTGAGCAAACTTTTCGAGATCTGCATCTTTAGGATTATATTTTCCGAAAACAGGCTCTTCAAATGTATCGACCTTTAGTTTTTCAACAAATTCTGTTTCAAGATGAGGCTCAGATATTTTATCATCTATAAGTAGATGGGTAATATTAACATCCTTCATTATAAAATAATAACACTAGAAACTACGAACCAGTAACGAGGTTGACCGATTCAATTTCAGTTGAGCGAGACTTTTCAGATACTATGGTAGGTTAGCACATTAACGAAAATCGTTACGCTTGAAGAAGCGGAACGGTTAAGTGAGCTTTGAAGGGCTCTATCTGCTGTGCTCAATGGGTGTAGGAATATTTGCCCTTGGCAGAAAAATGTGTCGACACTGGGGCGGGATTAGAGCGCATTGCCACACTTCATTAGAATAAACGAACAAAGAATATTACTAGAAATTACGAGACACATACAACCCCCCAAGACTAAGTTTAGATAGGCATATTTCTCCTCATCATTGTTGCAGACAGTGAAGGTTTTCTCCGCTTGAGCTTCAGCTTCGCCAGTTTTAGTGAGGTAGTAGAGTAGGGCAGACTTTTGCTCTGTATTGAACTTGAGGCGAGCAAGCTCTGCATAGATGCTCGACATTTTGCCTGAGGTGGGGGTGTCGACGTGTTAATATACTTTAGTGGGATAAATAAAGAAAAACTGCGAACCAGTAAAGGAATAGGACGATTCAGTTTCAGAAGTTTCAGTAAGACTTTTTTGACTTGGGGTGGTGCATGGCGTAATAAATACTCACGTACTCGCGCCACATTTTATTGTGTCAATATTGTCGCGTAAGAAATTAAGTTATTTGCGTGACGTGCACGTGATATTCATTAACTCGTAATTCATGTTACCAGAGCTTAAATCTCGATCCAAAATCGATTCGTTGCAAGAATTAAATTCTCAACTAATTACTACAATTTCCGAGCTTAGAAAGGAGAATGCAGAGATCAAAGCCGAGAATACGAAATTAAAGCGGGCTATGAAAGAGAATACCGAGCTTAAGAGCAGAATCGAAAAGATGGAGAGATAGTGATGCTGAGAATGTTGAACTTGGAGCTAGCGTTGTGAAATTAGAACAGGATTTCAGGAAGTCACAAAACGAGATTTCTCCCGAAGAAGACACAAGTGTTGATATACCTAGCACAGTGTATTAATGCCAACTCTTCGCCTATATCGCCAGAAGATAAGGAGGTTGACGAATTCGTGGATTCAAAATATAAGGAAAAGGTCAGTAATGAGATAAGAGAGAGGAATCGGGAAAAAAAGCTCCTTATATCCGATGAGGTACCGATATTAATATACTCAGGTCAATCGTACAAGAAGAAAACAACGCAAGATATTGTACAAGATGTATTTGATTTTACCATCACTTCATATAAAAATCATTTGATAGAAATTTCGCTTCCGACCCGGAAGGAGAAATATCTAATGTATTACAAGCCATAGCTTGCTTATATGAAAAAGAATGTAATGCCGAAAAAGAAACAGTAAAAGCTAATCAAGCTGAAATTTTATGCTTTATAACTATTTTAAAGAATTCTATTATCAGGTTAAAGAGATTATGAGAACGGATCAAATTAGTGAGAAAAAGCAAAGGAAATAATTTATAATTTTATTATTAAGCAAATTCCTGGTACCAAACGAGAAAATTTATACAAAAAGACATATAGAGCTAGAAAGATTTATGAGCTACTGTATTTGAAAAGATAGGAGTGGATAAATTAAGTATATTAAAACATATAGTGCAAACTCTATTTTTGAATTATCCGATAGTAATAGTCAAATACAAATCATCATTGATTATTTCTCCAAGAATCCCAATGCCGAATTTCCCGATAATCAAGATAGTTCTATTAACAATTTTTTAGATAATTTACCCGAAACTGGGACAAATATAACTACAGAGGAATCAAACGTTCAACACTTCCTCTAACGCTTGTGGCTCAATGATCAAGGTAAGTGCTCAAGTCTCGGATCCTTCCACTTTGAAAGCCAATGTTAGTATACCACCTACCAAGAAAGTATTATTTTTTGTTTGTGTCTTTTAACCATTCTCAGGTATGTATAGAAGACTTTAAAAAAGTTCTGCTTATTCTGTTTATCAGCTGCCTGTTATTGAGTGAATTAGCGTGGTTTTCCCTATAATTATCCTTTAACTAATAATAATGTCAAGAATTGCCTGATAAATTTATAGATTCCAAGTATTATTATTATCTGGTAAGACTGATAGAGATAATGAGTCAAATTCAGTCCATTAAAGCCAGTGGGAAAAGCTAAAATACCTATTTGTCTATTATTATTGTTTCTTGTTCCTTTGCAGTGCTTGTATTATTCCATATTATAAGAATATTCTAGTGAACCAAGCAAAAGTTGAAACCTTGATATTAGAATTCCGATATAGTTCATGATAAAGCCTAACTTTGTCAAAATAGTAAACGTGTTGGAGGATACTAAAACAGAAGAAACAGAAACAGAAACAAAAGGTAAATCACTAAAGCTAAGACTAATGATAATGCTAAATAGTGCGGTATTGTAATAAGTCGTTAATTTTATATTATTATTGTTGTTGCCAAGCTTTTATTCATTATCAACATTGCTTGCGTAAGCGAGAATATAATCTAAGTTTAAACCTGGCTCTCAATTTACTCATGGTTTGGAACTATTATTCATTAGTTATTTTCTTTGAAAACAGGGGAAAAAACACGATTTTTTTTTTATAAAAACACCTTCCATTCCTTATCATTACTACACAATGATAGATGCAAGTGCTCTCAATATAAAGTATCAGATTAGCGCATTCAGTGTATATGTCTATACAAAGAGTCAGGCAATAAAATAAACTTTTATTTCTTAACCAAATTATTCATAGTCTGTGGTTTTTCTATGGACATGAAATTAACTCCAGTTTTTCTGTAACTATTAATATCCCGGATTCTTGGTTTGTTGCGGCCACAATATTAACAACAATGTAACCTATACCAATAATTTACAGCACAACGTTTACGAAGCCCTTCAAAACTTGGCTATTTCTCCGAGTTTCTCTACTATGGTCTTTGTTATTTGCCTCATCCAGAATCCCATATTGCTTCCATTACAACTTACACGCCTACTTTTCTAGCATTTAACCTTAAAGTATTTTGTACAACGTCTTGAAGTGTCTTCCGAACGATCTTTGTCTCCTTCTTAATAGCCTTGATTGCTTCAGAATTAACTCTTTTTGCACCAAATGCAAGAGCCTGTTCTTCAGCCACACGTTGTTCCACTTCCTCGCGGGCACGTACTGCATAGAACTCTCTACACGCTATTACGTAGGCTTCCCGTTCAGAAAGGCCTTGCTCAGACATTAGGTGTAATTGGTATTGGATTACACTGTCATGAATGTATAAGTAAGCATAAGTAAACAAAAATATGCTTAACAATTAATTACTAAAAATTCCTTATTCTGTTCCCTGTTTATTCTCAGCCATTTACCTCTCTCCAGTAATATCAGACGGTGCCTCGCCTTTACTCGTCAAGCTATCCCAGACCGTCCTCCTCGGCACATCCTTCTCAATCAATACCTGCGGTCTCAATAATTCATATGGATGATCGCGGTAAAATATTCTGCGCAGTCTGTCTTCCGGATAGACTATCGGCTGAGGGCGTGCATGTTTTTGACGAAGATGTTTCGACGAATGCGAACGGCCTTTTTTCGTTGCAAGAGGAAGCGACGCAGTAACGTGAGAGATGTAAGCTGCAACTAAATAAGCAACACACCAGCAAGTGTAGGAAGAGAAGGAATAGTTGGAGGATGCATTATCAGATGAAACAGCGGCGAATTGATTATCAGGTGAAACCGCGGCAGATTGATCATCAGGTGAAACCACGGACGAGGGAAACTTTGAGGAAATCGAGGAGTCGTTAGCTGGTACAGGAGAGACTGTGGTTGCTGTTAAAGAATGTGGAGTCGCGGTAAATGATATGCCACCGCGAATAAGTGAAGGTCCGGGTGGTATCAGCTTCATAACTGGGTACCATGGCGGTGGCTTTTTGTATATGTTTCCTTTCAGAAGACCTGATACCAATGAATGTAATTTACCCGTCGGTTGAGGAAAAAAGCGTGGCATTTGGTTGATGCGGAAAAGGAAGGAAAGATTTTACTGCAACACGTGGCATAGATGTCTGTCATGTGATTTTTTAAATTCCGAATCACTAAATATAGGATGTATTGTATGAATTATAGCAATAGGGTGTGCTTAGATTTAAGTGATAAACGGAAATGGACATTCAACTATGAGTTTCTTTCCAAACCATAATTGAGCAATTAGATTACTTTTCCCTCGAAATTTGTGATTTCGAGTTCATATCGTAATCGTTCGATCATATTGAAGTTTATGGAAAAACTTTAAATTTTAACATCTGGAATTATTGTTGCCCAACTCAAACACAATAATGGCACTACATTACATATGTATATGAAATTCATTAGTTTTGGAATTAGTTTTTGATAGTCCGCCCCATTTTAACGTCATGATCGACAATAGTTATAAGGCAAAGGTGATACGAACCCAGGAACGCGCGCATGTTTTCTTTCTTGAGCTGTTCTTCGTGACATCATGGAGAAATTTTCACGCTGGAGGGTAAGTCTTAATAATGGGAACACATTGCACAATCATGTTGGCATTTACGCCAAACTCTTTTCCTCCCAATAGGACAGCTCTACAGGAATTCATCCATTTTTAACACCAGTGGTAAGTCTCTGTTAACAAGCGAGATTCAACAACCTGTCAACGAAAAGAGCTCAAGCTAGCCGTTCGTCGCTATTTTTGTTGTCACTACTACTTTTGATGGTTCCCTAACCTCTATCATAAACCATAGCATTTTAGATATACAAGTTCTTCGTTGGAAGAGTTTATAACTATCTTTGGCGAAGTCCTGAAACCTTTGATCTCAGTCGTGAAATCAATACTGGTTCTACTGGCTCTTCTGCTTCTGTTTCTGTTTCGTGATGTCATAGGCGTGTTATTGGTATGCTATGCCATGACGTGAGTGCATTTACTTCCCAGGTAGAGGTCTAATCAGCCTCATAAAAGCTACCGTTAGGAGCTGCTGTTCATAGGGCCTTTCAGTCTATATTTACCGCACTATGGACACGTCTGGCACTTCTGTTTATGGGTTTTTACTGGATTAGTGAAGAAAATGTAACACTAAAAAGAGGGTCAGTTCACGTTCTATGGTCGATACATTCCCTCCGAAAGCTAATATTGAATCTAACAAATACTTTGCTGATTTAGACGCTCTCATACATCAAAAGGACAAAAAAAACCCCGTTCGAACCGAATGAAGTCTGGAGATGTTATTGTTTCCAACTGGTGTTCTTACGTTGATATACTGTATTTTACATTCAAGTAAAGTGAATTGTGAAAACTATGCATTTGTTTTGTATGTGTCTTTTCATAGTGTTGTGATGATAACTTTCTCTTTTACCAAGGTTTAATCCCATGTTTACTCAGTTATACCCTGCAACAAATACATTGCGACCAATTTCTATGTGGAAAGCCCTCCTAATAGCAGCCTCTTTTCCTCAGTTAAAACCACCATCTAATATTGAGACATATTCACTCAAAGAACTACGTCAACAAGCCGTCAAGAACCAATTGGGTCCGATAGTTATCTTTCCTGAGGTCAGTGACGTGCAGTGCTTAGAGATGACTTTGGAGATACGCTTCAACATTATTTATTATGTTTCTATTAGGCTACGACGTCCAATGGACGCGCATTTCTGAAATTTTGTCCTGTATTCCACGAGATGTCCTTACCTGTCGAGGATTGTGTAATCCATATCTATACAATAAGGTATGAATTCAACAATCAATATGTCGAGTCATGTTTTTTTAACTACTAAATCAACCATGCAATATTAGGTATGAATATGAAAACTTCTCGCCGACGTACACGGCTGGAAATATCCTTTGGCATTACTTGAAATTATGTGGAGAGGTTTGTTGGCGTTTGACAACATGTTGATGAAATGTTCTTTTTTGCGTCAATGGTTGACTATTAGTGCATCCTCGTTACATTATATTATATTTGATAGTTTAAGAATACTATGATTGTAAAGCATTTGGGTACAGAAGAGAGTCCTTCGTCGCCGTCATTCACAGTCTCTCAAAAAGCAGCGTCTATACCATTAGCGAAGGAGGATGCAGTTGGAGCTCAGGTGATTAACTTAATGCACCAAATAAGCCGATTGCGTATGACGAATCTTGATGCGAAAGACAAATACGACTTTCTAAAGTACTATTGGGATAGAAGGAAAGGTGCATATGGAAAGAATCGAAGAAGTTATTAACAACGTAGTCGTGATATTGATGATTACACGTTAATCCGAAGCTCGAGATTACCTTTGTATGTACAGTGAAATCATATCAAGTTAGTGTTGATACGTGGGCTGTTTGCTCCAAAAATACACATAAACAAAGAACCACATATGGAAAGAAGCAAAGGATTGACAATGTAACCATGATATCGATAATTATAATACCTTCTTACGTTTACCAAAGCTGGTGATTATCATTTTATTCATACAGTATAGTATCTATATTAAATTAGTGTTGATACATGCAAAGTTACTTATCGACAGATACGTTAATGTCTATCTGCAGTGGGTAATCCACGGTAGTTGGGCTTTCTCCATGTCGAAACAAAAAAGGCTAGATAAACCATTGCGATGTAAACATAATATGCTATAAATAGGCCCAAAGGAAGCTTACTAAATAGGCTGCTGTAGCGATGTAATCCAAGTGGGATATTGACAAGAGCGGCCGTAATTACAATACGTCCCCACCACCTAATGATTGAGTTTGCAATGAGTAGGTTTGAAGAAGTGAAAACTAGTGTACGAGAGGATGGGTAAATATACATACCAATGGAGTTTCGTCCACCATGGAATGTACTTTCTTTTAGGATCGAATAGCTTGTGATGTATAATGCCTATGCTCCATTGGATTCCGAGGGCAATGATTATAATAACTCCGAACAGCTGAAAGATGTCAAACTAGTTAGGTCACGATTATCAAGAGAGGAACATTGACAACACAAATTGTATAAATGGGAGGTATAATATTTACCTGGTGTGCTACTCCAGAATCGAATTTTTTGTTTCGACCTATATATGCAAGGACGAATGCAATGATAACTAGAGGAATTGTCAAAAATGTTTGCATGCTCCAGTGCAGATGGAACCAAGATTTAGGAAGTTTCTGTCTTCCGAATCTGGCAATGAAGACAGCTGTTGGTGCAATAACAGCCCACGCAAGAAACATTATTATGCCTACAAAAGTTGTCACGTTAAGGAACATAATACGGCAGCGGGTTATACTGATTCTATGATGTGCTATTCGTTATATGCGTACCATGTGCAGTCATCAATTTCGTGTTATTGCCCAATGTTATGTATCCTCGGTATAAATGTTGCTGCAAGGTACTCGTATCATATCGACTTTCCGGGACCTTTTGATCCGATACAGCGTATATAAAGTTCTTGGTACTTGCTGATACGGTTGAACCTTGCACATGTAGAGGCCGAGTGAAAGTCGCGACAAATTTATTGCCTTGTATTCCGCTTGATGAAGAAAGTGAAAGATCGGCCTGTTGATTGGTTGGGTTCGGCAGATCATGGGTAGTCGCCTTTCGCTGCGATATCGTGACTGATCCATCAGAGTTGGGCCATACGATCTGTCATTCAAGTTATTCATGTGAGTTGCTATAAGCGTTAATTGACCATGTTCATGAAACGGGCAATACAACGAAATTTGTGCGTGGAGCGTTGTTTAAGATTACCATCAAATATGCCCCAACCATGCTGTCGCCAATGCCAACGCCAACCCACCTAAGGGTAATTGGTTTGGTAAAGTTTTAGTAATTGATAGAATTCGAATCCTAATTCATGTAATCACGGGCGTTTGGGGAGGGAATATTTACCCTACATCAGCCGATGCCTCCACACTGAATGAAATATTTTCGCTGTCGGTCGTTATATCAACGCAAACATTCAGTGCATCGGGATTGCAGAAACGTCCGGACACATCTAATTTAACAAATATACGTATAATTTATGTCTTATTCGAGCGTTATCGACTTATACAAATATAATTATACCTTGCAATAGAAAGAATAGTATGACAATCAGACATAAAGGTTTAATTGTTAACAGACGAGTATTTTTCATGGTCAAAAGGTCGGAATAACTCGTTGAGCGAATGGCGGTCTTTTATAATGCCGAGATTTGACAGTGGTTACCTAAATGGAATTGTTCCTAAATTTCGCTAGTCTGACAACAGGATTTCAAGGGGGTAACGCCACATATTGTCCACCCAGTGTTTACTATTTTCGTTTGTCCTTACCCAAGTACAAAGCGTTAAACAAATAATGTGTGGATCGCTGACAAATCAATTTTATATTTACTATTTATCTCCAAGACACCTTGCTGAAAATTACTCTGCAAAACAAGTGACTTATTCGAATACTTTGTTAATCGTTAATACCGGCTCGAGAGATTTCTAATGACTAATGGTACGAAATTTTGTATCACAGCCCTGGCCATTATTTTTACTACATTGATACCACTCAATAGTAATAGACTTATCCTGTAAAGGTTTTCTCAAAAGTTTGAAAATTATTCTGCTGTAGACGTCTTGAGATGACAAACTAGAGCTATTATTAGCATATTAATAATCCGGGGCAATCTCTAATCTCGTAGAAAATCGCTATTAGCTATAAATGACGATACCGAAAAAACCCTGGGTATTCGTGTCGACGATCAGCCAACTTGCCAAATCATCTGATTTGTATTCTTACCGTACGAATGTTGGTGCTATCGAGCATTTATAGATATGTGGAGATATTCGCTATTTAAACTGCAAAATTTCCCGGGCCAGACCAAATTGGTATAGAAAAGTTTTTACGTATTAAGTCAAAAATGTCAAATCTTTGTTATACTAATAAGGTCCAGCGCAAAATTCGCCAATCGAATGAAATGTAAGGGGAAGCAAACATTATCTTTCCCATGGAAGACCTGGTCAGAGAAAAACTTTTCTATCCGAAAAGATTGTTTGCGCTACCAATATTATATAAATAACGAGGACGTTACGTCTAAAGTAATTCTTGGGTTTTGGAAAAATTTACATGATAGCGTCAAAGAATATGAAAATTACCGTAAACTGCTGACTAGTATACCCCCCTATGATTTATATCCTGTATTGATTTTTGAGTCCGATTTTTGATTTATACCCGAGTATTGTACATAGTGTAGTTCAAAGAATTATACCCCCATACAATGGGGAATACCCGGGTACAACAACAAAAGTTTATTTATCTAATATTTCTAATTATTCTTCGCTTGCCCAATCATTTTCATAACCTTCTACTTCATTATATGTCTCTCCATCAATAGAATCAACTACCAAAACTTCTTCACTATTTTCTTCTACCAAACCCTCATAATCAAAAACTAATTCATCTTCTGTTCCGTCCATGTTTCCGAAATGCCACAACATTTGAATGCTTTTCTAATTAAGTTAGAATCAACATGCAGATCACATCTACATTTGCAACGGTCCCCGGAAAAATAAATTTCTAGCAATTTCTTTGGGGGGTACAACTCACGGAATGTACCCCCCACCAATACAAAAAAGTACCCCGGGTACTAAAATGGGACATTGGAAATACCCGGATACATCGGTCAGCAGTTTACGGTACATCATACGGCGAAATTTTCGAAATTTCGAAATTAACGGCTGGTAAAATCTTTGCTGTCGACATGTTTTAATAAAGTTTACACTAATCCATTTCTCAAAACCTACTTTGTAAGTCAATTTATTTATAAATGAATAAATATATATATAAATATATAAATATATATATTCTATTGTAAACATATTTATATTGGTGTCTCCAACTGTTAAATAAATCATTGATGGGACTCTTCTCTTTGAAGTTGATAACAATAACGACAACAATGAGTTTTAAACCAATTCAAAATTTTATTGATACTGGCTTGTTAACAGCGAATAGTCCATGTTTTATTTAACGCAAGTATCCCAGCAAATTCCGATTCTTTCATTCGGTATCTAGAAACGGAAACGCAGAGTATAAAGTATTCTTCATTACACTGGCTTCAAATCGTCATGTAATTGCGGTAAAGCTTGATCTTCTACTTCTTTATAAGCGTATTCTAAGAATTTTACTTATCCAACGTCTACTTTATTGTCAATTGAGCGTTTTTGTGTTCGCCACTCGCTAAATGTTTTTTGCGGGGTCCACTCTTTGAACCCATTAAATCTTGAATAATTTCCTCTATTGGTAGGTGTCAGGAAAAAGTAACTTATGAAGCAACATTTTTTAATCGTCATTATAGTTTCCCGTAATTGTTGGCATCGGTAGCTTAAAAAAAATCAATGTCTAATAAAACTTCTAGCTATTACTGTTATTGAGGTATTGATGAGCGTCAACAAGTACATTTTACACGTTTTTGTGTAATACATTTAAGCAATTATCAATAATAACATAAATATTAGTCGTAAATTACTGTTTTCGGTTTACTGGTTCGCCATGTGCGTTGCTTTTGGATGTTTACAGAATCTCCACGTTTCGACCGTACTACCGACTTCACGTCTACCATAGTGACACAGAGATGTTTGTGACACAATAACGCATGTGTCACCCTGCCCTGTTGACACCCAATTGTTCAGTAGTAGTAGTAGTAGCAACAGCTCTTTTTTCATTAACGCAATATGTCGAAACTCTCTCTACAGAATGCGATGTTATCATATGAACAATTAGCGGTATGCCGTCATTCACTCTGGTCTCTTTCCTGGTATCTGTTGATTATGCACTTTATAATCTGGCCATGTAGTTGACACCTTCCAGGAAAGACGCCATTCCTGAAGAGCTCGAAGACGAATTGCGTCGATTAGGGTGCCATTTCATTCAGTCTGCCGGTATTCTGCTTAAACTGTACCAAATCAATGTTCGCTTTTGTCTTTCTTGTTACGCTATACTGAGATCTATGTATAAATTTATCGTTACTTTCTTTTTTACGTTTGTTGATTAGACCCCAAGTTGCAATGGCAACAGCACAAGTATTATTCCAACGGTTTTACTACGTCGCGTCGATGATGGCCTTTAGTATTCGGGTAATAGAACGTTATTGACATTTTGGCAAAGATATAGAACATGATGCTCAAAAGAGTTTTGTGTAGGACGTAGGGATGGGCGCATTATTTCTCGCAGCCAAAGTCCAAGAATCTCCCCGTAAAATACGTGATCTGATAAACGTATATCACTGGTTGATATCAAAATATCAAAACACGGTTTATGAACCGATGGAATATTTTGGAACGGTAGAAAACCGCTTTACGCAACCAATGTAATACTTTTGTGTCTCGTCAGACTCCCTTCATTTTTACTCGAAATACGTAGGAATTCTATGCAATGAAGAATGCGTTAGTGATCGCAGAGATGCAGATTCTCAAGCGGCTCGGATTCAACGTTCACGTACAGCTGCCATATGGCTTAATGGTAAATTATCTGAAGGTGCTCGAGCTCACAGAACACGAAAAGATACCACAACTAGCGTGGGGTTATCTAAATGATTCGTGAGTAATTATACGTACTTTGTGGATTAATTACAAGTATTATGATTCTGTGAAATCTTACTCCTCTCTGTTTTCCATCAGTCTACGTACAAGCATATATGTATGTTATCAACCTCCGACCATCGCGTGCGCGGTAATATATCTCGCAGCACGTATTTGCGGTGTGAAATTACCAACCCAACCTCCTTGGTGGGAGTTGTTTGAAGCAGAATTGGAAGATATCCTTTAATGCGCCGTGTGAGAAAATGTATCAATCGACTCTTGTTTGATTCCTTGACATTTTAATCACATATAGAGAATATTGCTGGACACATAATGCGTTTATATAAATATGAGTTGCCTCCGAATCTGCCACTAACATCTAAGGAATTGGAAGCTTACTTAAACAATATAACTAAGGAAGTAACGTCTTCAGATGCGCAGGTAAATAGGAACTAGAGACTACGTTATGCTTTCAACCAGAATAAATGGGGCGGTTGAAAAATTTTGAGCTTTATATATTAATGCTCTTGCTCAGTTAAATTGCTTTTAGGACTTTTTGAGAGTCATCTGAATTTGCTTACAAAAACAATTAGATTTATTTTTCCGCGAAGCTTACTACCATTTCATATATTCATCAACTGGAAGAATAACAAAGCGCATTTGGTAGAAAGTTTGGCAAGAGCAGTTCCAGCCAACAGTTGATAGTATCTCAAACAAGATTATTATTACTCCTTTAATTTAGAGGGAAACCACTTTGAAAGTTGGCATAAAAATAGACTTTTTTTTTTATTATAATTGTTTTGTTTAAATAAAGCAAAAGCTCAAGACTTTTCAACCGCCACACATAATAATGTACTCGATTCATGCCATAGGTTGAAGACACTCGAAGGGAAGGTACTCGAAGGGAAAATACTCGAAGAGAAGATACCCGAAGGGAAGATACTCGGAGAGAAGACACTCGGAGGGAAAATATTCGGAGAGAAAATACTCGGAGAGAAAATACTCGAAGATAAACAAATTTTTCCTTAAATAACAAGATATTAATGCATTATGGACAGATGGCTTTATTATTTTCGCGTTAGCTCTGAATAGTAATCCAAGAGAGGCTTGGATTGTGATCATCGTTTCGACAGGGAATGTTCAATGCTGAGTATCTTTTGGGGATTTATCATCTTCCTTTGTATTGGCATCGTCTCTCACTAAATCTTCCAATATGTCTTTTAATCGAGGATCGTCAGCATCTAGTCCTGGCAAGGATCCTAGGACATCGCTCATGTTATTGGAACCCTGTACAACCAGACAAACTATCGTAAATATTGTGACGAGAAATATAATAGTTTAAATAGAATCCAAGAAGATACTCACCGATTGTTCTCCCGCTTGTTGCATTGACATTGCAATGGCTCGTTCCATTTGTTCTTCTTCAGTAAGCTCTTGCATATGTATATCTCCATCCTATGTCATATTTGTAGAATTAAAAATATGTAAAAAAGAAATTTATCAACTCTCTGAGCCAGGAAAACCAATGCCGTAATCTCTGCAAATTATAAGAATACAATCAACATACGTTAGTCTCCATCGATGCGGACAAGGCCGCATTCAATAGTTTCTGTTCTTCCTCGATAGTACTATCAACGGCCATTGTGCTTGATTCTGCCTCTTGCTGACCAGCCGCTTTCGCCGCTTCCTGTTCTCTTCTCGCTTTATCTTCTTCAAGGGAAATTCTTATAGCCTATATTATATGATAACAAATATTGTGGTATGTGTATACTAATGGTACAAACAGAACCGCCCCAATTTTGTGTATGAGAGAGATATCACGTACGAGAGCCAGTTCGGGATCAAGGTTTGGATCAACCATATCACCACCGTTAAACATGCTAGTGTCTCCATCTTCACTCATTATTATCGGCGTTTGAACCAATGTTTGGCTAAGAATTGTAGAACCGGGAGGAATAGTCGCTAGATGACTAAATGATCAAGGGAATTTTAGAACCATTGATCCAATCAACTCAAACTCGTTTTTTGATTATGAATAAAGTGGTAGTAAACCTGTTGTTCCCAGCATTGACATTTGACATGAATGCCTCCAATTTCCGCTCATTCTCTTCTCCTTCCCCAAAGCTAACTATATCGACTGCAACACTATTTTTCTTGGTTTTCTTCGCTAGCCTTATAAGAGTCTTCTCATCTGCATCAATTGGACTACCCACAAAAACTATGATCCGCTGACTTTGATTTTTATTCTGTCTATGTTTGAGTGCAAGCTAGAAAAACCCATACATAATACGCGGTGAGAATGTAACCGAACAGAAACGAGACCATCAGACGTGCTATCGACGCACCTGTGCCACTTGAATTCCAGTAGTAATGCTCGCTTTTCCTCCGATTTTCGTTTTATGCATTGCGGCGAGAATTTTACCAATGTCGGCAGTTGGCGTGACTAGGACTTCAGGTCTATAAAAGAAAAGTAGTGCTTAGCAGAAAAGTTGGAAGGAAAAAAATTCATAGCACAAATTAACAAAGACACGCACCCTTTTCCAGCCATAGTCATCAATCCTACAGTGTTCTCGGGGTGTTGTTGCGTCTTTGAGGCAAATATCAAATTCACTGCGTCATTTTGTGCTTCCATTCGAGTAGGCATGTAGTCCCCATTGCGCATCCATTCTGAGTTATCAAGACTAGAAAGGACGGAATTAGTATATGGTAAAAAGCAAAAGTCTTGATTTGTATAGAAATAAAATTTATGTACACTATCATAGTAGCTTCGAGCACCATGGTTATCGTTTGAGGAGGAGAGAAAGAGTCGAAAAAGTTACATTTGCGATTACGTTACAGCAAGGCTATTACGCCGGTTTCACGTGATTGAAATTATCCAATGATATTCATGAACAAAAGTTCGCGTAAATGAAGTCAACCCATATTTTTTTCGGAAGAGATGCAAATAAAACTTACAGCCTTTTGTTAAAAAACGGCAGTCTTGTAATAAGTATACTAGAGCGACAGCTGAGCAAATCCCTTAGTCCAGGAGTATTGATTAAACAAGGACGATGATTCTTCGGTTCGTTAATTGTAAACGTTTCCGTACTCTCTTAATTTATATGGACCGCTTAGTTGTGAAAAGTTTTTAGACAAGCTTTAAGAGACATTTGAGATTATTTTTTATTAAAATTTTTCCAAGTTTATGTTATTCAGCAACTGAACCTCCAAAGATTTTAAAAAATCCCAGAGAATAAGACTTGCAACATTTTAATATACGTTACAGAATTTGGCATACTGCACGTGATATTTTACGAAAATTGCATTAGAAAAAAATATACAGTATTGGTTGCACATCCAACATCGCATATTCGGAATGAATTATTGTAGTAAACAAACCAATCTATACAATGATATTGCAGTCCAGGACATGACGATAACATAAGTTCTCTACATTTGCTTTACGCATATTTAGCTTTTGTTGGAGTTGGTATAAGCAAGAAAATAGTGGATGCTGATTTTCGTCTCGGATCGCTTTGAAATCCAGCCATTGTTTAGATAATTTTTTTTACGTGTATCACTCTCGAACTTGTAACCTAGCGTTGATTAAGTTATCAGCCCGGAATAGAAGAAAAATTTTCTTCTTCGTCCAGAACCTCCGTATTGGGTCAAATGTTGAATCTTACATATGTACTGTAGCTTTCGGAAATTGTCATAATCATTGTTCTTATAAATTGATTGATTTTTGTAGACTGGTTTTAATATCTGACAACCGAGAAAGTCATATGTGCCACCAAGGCTTTAAACAACAGACAATCGAGAGGATTGTCTTTGTCCCAGTGGATCAGACGACTGAGCGAGTTATCTTTGCTCTAACCATGATTCTGTGGACTCGGCAAGTAAATAGCCTCTCCAACAACAATCAAACGCGTCCTTGCCATGCCACTATATTACTCAATTCTAACAACCAATTTTTTGCTTGCCCGCAATGTATCGAGACTTCTGAGATAAATACATAAATGCAGTGATATCGATATAGATCACATGATATAAATATGTAATATATATAATTAATGAGAATTTCTAAGAAATGAGTACCCAGCATTATATAATTTACAGAAATTGTTTATAGCCAACTTGTTTCTGTTACTGGTTACATAATGCTCACCCGCGCTATTTTACTAGAAAAAAACGTTCGAGATTAGGTAATTTCAGACCTCAGCGTATATTAATATGTAGTTATTCTAACTGGGATGAATAGACAATAAAGCTTTTCATGAATGCCAGATCCCTAAATGTCTTAACTTGAAAATCTGGTAGTCATCCCACCTTGTACGAAGAAGTCTTGCTCAATCAAACTTGTAATATTAATATTAGTTCACTTGACTGCTACTGTACAATATGAAAATTGAGAGTAATAACAAGTGTTTCACGTGGCCCATTACATGGCAACTGATGAGGAAATATATTATTTCGAAACAATTTTTTAGCCCGAATATTATGCTGCATAAGCATCAATTGCGATCCCCTGGAGACAGTATAGAGATACTAGCCACCGTAAAATAGAGCTGATTGAGGGCGATCCCATGTCAGGTTATTTAACTCTATAATAGTTAATAGAGCATCATCGGCTATATGCATACGTTAGACTATATAATATGCTTCGCCTCGATACAGTAAGGTATGGGTTGGGGCTGTCACTCGTATCCCTGCATTACACGCTCTGGGCTATCTTAATCATATCGTCTGTCAGTTAGTAAACTGCACGTGTAGCATTACACTCTACGTGATGACTGATAAAAAAAATGTCAAACTCACCTTGTGTGGTAGAAGGCGTTATCTCTAAAACAAACATATACTTGTACGGATGTGGAATAAGCTGTTCGTTCCGTTTTTTAAATACGTAACGCCGCCCGAGATCCCAAAGACGACGTGCTTTTATGCCAGTAAATATATAATAGCTTATTGCAGAATAACAGCCTAACAATGATTGAACTATTATAACTTACTGCACTGCAGCCTATAGCCTGTACCAATAATCGTCTGATCTTTCAGTTTCAAGAGGATGCAACTAATAACGACAGACTGCATTGGGAGTAAACAAAAGAAGTAACAGCAACCATTGAAACTACAAGAAGCGAGACCGTTTACCATAATTTCTTTTTGAAGGTCAGCGTTTTCTGCGTATTCTCGTGTATGCCTTGCTGTCTCATCTCTGGACAAGTTGACAACGTTGGTGAAGATCTGTGTTAATTGCATAGTGCCGACTTCAAGTCACACTTACGTTCGTTGTAAAAGCAGGGTGACTTGGACGACTTCCCCTTCAGTAGCTAGCAATTGAGTTTGGTTTAGTTGCAGAGTTTGCATAATAAGAACAAGAAGAATATAAAGCGAAAAAAGCGTGTAAGTAGTAATGAAATCCACTAGTATTTAAGGATAATCTCAAGATAATCAGGTGAGTATATGATCACGTGTGAAACAAAACATTCCAATTTCCAGTTTTACAATCAGGATTACATTTTTTTACTGTTTAGTGCTAACGCTAAGCAAAGAAATCATAAAAAGGGAAAGGAATAAACAAACGGCAATAAAAAACTGACATTATTGCCGCCATATAACTATTAATTTACGTCTGGTTCTTCGACAATTAACTACACTAATATCAAAGTCTATTGTCCGCTAGATGGGAGAACTCGGCATTTTCTAGTGCTTATCTTTTTTCTTTTTTGAGAATGAATGTCCAGCGATTTTTTCTCAATTTTATATTAATAACCCAACAACATTTAGGTTCGATTCTCCCTTCAACATTACCATTACCAAACCAATCAATCTTCTATCATCTTTTGAATATTCATTAGAATGACATAAACTTTTCTCGGTATGGGTCGGCGCATGGCGCCCCATAAGGTTCCCGCTCTTCTGGATAAACGTCAAAATTGCTAGCGTCACCATCACCATTGATTTGTGGGATATACGGTGCTCTCCCTTCTCTTCGTAATAGTTTATCCCAATCAGTTCCGTGAAACCATTTATGACGCTTTATATCTTCACTTCCACCTTTCAGGTTGCCATATCGCTTGGACAAGTCTGCCGTCAATAGTCTTTTTAATAAATCTTTTGCGTTCGACTCGAACGAGCTCGGATATTTTATTCTTCCAGCAAGAATCTTCTCGTAAAGCCGCATGTGATCTTCATCATAGAAAGGAGGATATCCAGCAAGCATTTCAAAGATTAACACGCCTAAAGAATACCAATCCACTGCCTTGCCGTATCCTTTTGATTGGATTATTTCTGGTGCGAGATAATCAGGCGTTCCACACAAAGTCCAGGTTATGTCAGGAACGTACTTTGCAAATCCAAAGTCGGTTATTTTTATGTGCCCATCGCGATCGAGTAGGAGATTTTCAGGCTTTAGGTCGCGGTAAATTATGTCTTTGGAATGCAAATATTCAAAAGCCAGGAGAACTTCTGCAGCATAGAACTTTGCTACATAGTCTGGAAAGCGCTGCATTCAGATCATTAAAGAGGTTGGGGGAAAGAGGGAGAGAAGGAGAATTTTACATGAATAATCGAAATGTTTATCCAAAAAGAAATAGGGGTTGATGATAGAATAGTTACCTGTGACTTTCGGAGCACGCTGAATAGTTCACCACCAGCAACATAATCCATAACCATGTACAAGTTGGCAGTATCCTGAAAAGTTCCCCACAAGTTGACTAGAAACGGATGGTTAACCTGCTCCAATATATGCTTTTCGTTGTTTGTGTGCTCTACTTGCTTCAAACGAACGACCTCGGTTTTCTTCAGTACTTTCATAGCATAGTACTTTGTATTGCGTTTAGACTGCACGAGATGTACCCTACCGAATGAACCCGTGCCCAGAGTACGACAGATGGTGAAATCGCCAAGAGAGAATTTCGTTCGTGATTGTCCGTTAGATGATTGTTGGTGCGAGGTGGGTTGTAGTTCGTGTGGATGAGTCGCTTTTAGCTGGGCAAATAGTTGTTGCTGTTGTGTGAAACTAGTGTAGGATGGAGGGTAGGCATTTTGATCCCTATGTCCTGATACGGACCCGGATGCGTTATTTAGAGTTTTCCGAATGCTGCTACTTCCTGACATTGGAAGTATTATTGTAGACTATGGTGGAAATGGAGGAAGTTTCAGCAGAATCAAGGGACAAGGGATCTTTCTTTTGAGTATGTAATAAAGAATATGTTAATATTTTTGAAATCATTTCTTATGTGGACGAATTCCCGAAAAGGTATTTGTGTTATAAAGGAAATTGACTTAAATGAATAATTGGAATATAATAATAAACAATGTTTCCCATATTTATAACTGGAATTTTTACCCCCGTCTTACGAACGCATATTAGTAATTCCAAATCCCGAGAATCCCCCCCTCCACAGCTCTATACCAAAGTAAATTGGCCGTAAAAATCTTGAAACGACCTGTTTATTATTTTTTTTTATATACTAATCGAGTTAAAAAGTATGTTTGGATTTTAAACGTTCGATTCAGTGGATAGTCGCTAATCCTATTTGAGTTAGAACACGCTCGAAGCATGAGATTTTGACCATCCCTAATTTGAATGGAAACGATGGGCTTATGAGAGAATTTCTTTTTAAAATAGGACAATGCGAGTGAATGTGATAATGTAAAGTTTGAGGCGAAACGTACAAGTACGCGTTCGTTTATTCAATATCACAATGAGAATGTTAATGGAGTCACATTATTAAACAGTTGCTATTGACTTTGATGTTGCCCCCACGCCACAATATACGATATTAATTTGATCTCGAGGATCAGGTCTTGGAAATTTCAAAGATTTGACATTAATAAGTAAGAGGACTCGCACAATTACATGTACTTTACCATATCAAACCTATCTTTTCGCTTTTCGCTTTTCCCACTGAACAATCGCACGTTAGTAATTAATGTCGTAGCAAATTTTATACTGACTTTACAGATATATTCTTGAATGCACATTCCGGTAGTTTAACGTTAACATTAAGTTCAATATCAATCGGCATACCGAATTTTTTATAACAAATTCCCGGCAATGTCTTTTAGGATGCTACGACGTTGATTGGTTTTCGAGAAGCGAACAATTCATGTTAACAATTCGCGACTTGAGAATAAAAATGTAGTAAAGTTATTTTATAGTAGCTTCATTAGTGGGTTGCTTGGCGAAAAATTTGATATGCTTTCCACCCATTATCTATATGGAGCGATAATAAGTACGACTCACATCATTCAGATAACACCCTCGTAACAGTAGACAACTTTTATCATAATCACAACGTTCGACGACTAGTAGCCTTACTGAAAGAACTGAACTTCGACCCGGGTAATTCGTTTTCACACGAATAACTTGAAAAATGGCTAAAGGCTTAATATAACTTAATCGATAGAAAGTGGGGCGTTGTACGATTTATCGCAATTAACCGTCCTGTCGCAAAGATAAAACTTGAGCGTTCTATGTTCTTGATTTATGACGTGTAAATACCGCTTTTAGTGCATTATATAATCATAATGGAATCGTGCCATTACAATGACAAAGGCATAATTAAAAGACAAGGAATACTAACTATTAATGTACCCTGTGTAACGCTGTGGTAAACCAATGCGTTGCTTCACGAATCGCAGGTGCATAAAAATCGTTGTTATAATAAAATACGCTCAAGTCTTTGCATTTTTTAACAGTCTGTTCAAGTAAAATCAACGTATTACACCCAAGCGATACGTTCATACAATCCTATATATCTGATAATTGCCAACCCATCCATTGCCACAGAGAATTCTTTAGCAATTGTCTGTCTAGATTTCTCCCAATTAACACCAGTTTATCTTCGGTAACTTTATCGCCTGCATTTGCCTTTGCATATTGAAAATCATACAGTTCTTGAACTCCTTGAACAATAATGCGCGTCAATGGAGAATCCTCTGGCGTGAGAATACCTTTTAATCGAAGAACTACTATATTGCTCGTGGTATTTGGGATTGTCTTATCCCAAAGAAGCCTTTGAATCCATTCTTCCATTACTGAAATATTAATTGATGGATGTGGAAGAACAAGACAAACTGTTCGCACGTTCTTAATATGGTGTTATTAAAAATAGCAGTAAATCAGTTTTTGCCGGGCAACAATTAATTTGCAGTTGGAAATCCATACCTCGTCTAAATGCGGATGATCTGGCTTCTCATCAGATGCGGTCAAAGTTTGGGAATGAACATTTATGTCAAACGCATGAATATCAAGAATAAAGTCTAAAGGGACCCTTTCAATGTAAAATACGATTGTTATTACACATGGCATTATTAAAACTGTCCTCCAACAAATTCTCTACCTTGACCGCTGTGTTTGCCTTATTTCGGCCGTAGCATTAATCGATCTAAACAAGAATAGATAAAAGTATTAGCAGGTTCATCACAAACAAAATCAATCAATCTGCAGCTACCTAAACCATTCCGTGACTGTAGTAAGGATTTCTACCTTAATTGTCTTTCAATCGTGTCTAGCTCCAACGGCGTCACTAAATCAGTTTTATTTATTATTATTCTATCGGCTGTGGCAATCTGTCTTTTGATAACGTAACATCTTAGCCATGCATGCCCAATCTTATAGACATATATAGCCTCATTTATATTACCTTGTAGCCTCGTTGATAGAATGATCTTTCGTAGTCTCGGCAATATACTGGCGAAAACGAGTGTGATCGTAAGGCAGCTCGACGAAAAAGCTTCAAAGATAAAAAAAAAAGAAAAGCATAGTTACCTGAAGAATATGCTTTGCATCAACAAGCGTGACTATCCCGTCTAAATAAATGTCACTACAAAGAGCTTCGTCAAGCCAAAACATGGACGCAATAGGGCCTATACAGAACAATCAAATAAAATTAGAAGTCCAATCGAAATCTATATTAGTCTCTATTCAAGTGGTGTAGTTACCGGGATCAGCGAGTCCAGTAGTCTCTAGCAAAATATAGTCAAACTTTCCTTTTTTCTGCATCAAATTCTCGATTGCCTTGACACCTTTATCACTGGACAAACAATTTTGAGCAAAATAATTTAATCGAAGACGATGAAAACGGAATGCAAATAATAACATACACGATAGAACAACACAAACAGCCATTACTCAATTCCAGCCATTCTTCAAACAATTCGCCCTCAACTCCGATGGATATGGGTTTCTCGATGCCACTACCTTGTCAGAAAAGCATATGAGAAATTACCAAAAAGTACACGAATGCCGCTTCACAGTATTAAAACGAGAACACTTACTTTCACCAAATTCGTTAAGAATTACGGCTATGCGTTTACCATGTTGTTCGGTGAGTATGTAATTGAGCAAAGTTGTCTTTCCAGAGCCCAAGAAACCTGAAAGAACAATAAATGCGTCAGTGCTCCTACTTTGTAAGACCTTATCAAAGTGGTATACAAGTTATATATAACGGGTCTCTCATTAAACCATACCAGTCACTATAGTAACGGGTACCTTCTCCGTAACGGGTTCCGTTTCACTTGGTACACAAAACAACAAACGAGTTAATATGCATGGTTCTGCGATAAAATATGTAAACAGACTTTCTACGTACGTTGGAAGTGTCTCTAGACGTTCTTCAATAAGTTCGGGAATGTCGTCGTCATCCATCGAAGGTAGGGATATCATTATGATACTCGGAGGAAAATCGAAAATCGAATGTTGTCGTTGATTGGCTAATATTACTAACGCGAAATCTTTAAATTTCCCAGTCGCGCAACCCGGTACCACTAACTGACAGCGACACAATGAGACCGATCGCACCGAAACAACAGCCACAGATACAACATTATATAAATGCTGACACTAGAGCAACTCTTAATAAACAACGACTATACAATGCTCTCCATAACCAGTTTGCACGTCTACAGACAAACGTGTCTACGTTAGAACGACAGATCGAGACGACTTCGGAACAACTGAAACAGATTCAAAACTTTGGAATATCGCAAGCCGCCATGTACGTTTATTTTTTTACGAAATGTCTGAATTTTCATACCATTGTAGTTCATACACTTATGAGATATTATTCAGTTTCATGGCTTCTCAGCGCGTCTTTCACGTTCCCCAAAACGATGATACGACCATGTAATCAGGAGTCTTTATACAAGTTTATTAAAGTCATTAATAACCATCATTCTGGCATTCTCACACCCTCCAAATCAACGAATTTGCCATTTTCTTCTTTACTCAGTGCGGTAATCAACTCCCACATGTACGAGGCAGTTAGATCTGGTTCCATAAAATTAGCGTCTGGTTCGTTGATTCTGCTTAGGAACCGAGGATATACGGATATGGCAATAGCGTTTCGTCTTGTTAATTCGAATTCGTTGGCGATAGATCTACATAATGCGAGTTGGGCTGTCCTATAATAGAAATAATGAAATAGTTGTAAAAAGTTGGTTTAACCGTTGTTTTTCTTTACACGGGACAAAATTCGCAAACTCACTTTGTCATTCTAAACGAGTATCGAAAGTCTACAGTTTTGTGAACATTACTGAGAAAAAGTTGTGTTGTTGTTGGTTAGCGTGGTAAAGGGCTATCAAATCACGTATTCAACGTTTTTTATTTTCTGACTCACTTTGTATTGCCGAGTTGTGTCAGAAATTTGGTTTTCTCCTCATCGGAAACAGTAGATTCTAGATAGTTGGTGCTAAGCACTATTGCCATTCCTGGTAAATCATCGGCCCTGTGGCTGAAATTTGTCTGTAGAAGAGGCTCTGCGAATTTCATCAACGCCGCCAATCCATAGACGTTGTGTTCGTAACAGCTTTTGCAAGTTCTCGATCCAGCGTTTTCAATAGGACCCTCTCCTTTATTTATGTAATTAGAGACATCGATTATAAGTCGCACTGACTCTTGCCCGTATTTGTTCTTGACATGGTCGACAAACTGCTGAAACATGCGTCCGTTACTAACAAATGTTTCAAACTTGTCTATTCTGTCTAATGACGGCCATAGTCGTTGTGGGATATGCTTCCTAATAGAAGTCCATGCTGGTTCTCTAGTTTCATAAACGACTGCTAGTTTCGTATTATTTAATATGGCTGATGCTAAGAAAACACCCAACGGACTGATTCCTCGAATGATAGCGACTGCCATTATCTATTGTAAATTCAAAAACTGAAAAAGTCTAGATCATGTGAAGAAATTATTGGAGACAGATCGGCACGTGGTCCCTAAATATTAAGATTAAACCCCAAATATTTAACGCAGTAGTGAGTCGCACGCTCAGAACGAATAACCAGTATTTTAATGCAATGCCAAGTAAGCGCACGTGTAAAGGTAATTCCAACATCTGGGTTTACTCAAAAAGATAACGTTCGCGATCGAACAACGACTAACGTTTTGTTGCGGACAGCCATGATACGTTTTCCTAGAAAACGTGATGATCAAGCAGAATGTTTCTCTGTAAGCATCAGATTAAGATGATAACCATTGTACCATCGCACTATCTACGTGAGAAATAACCAGTTTTATTATGCTGCAGATTTGCGAGAATTTATAACCAATAGTTGTTTGCGCATATTGTAAAGAACGCGTTAAAAATTATTACGACTTCAATAACAATAACAATTTTCGAAAGAAAAAAATTTTCAATGTGTTATTAAAATTCACCAACACCATCTTCAGGTGACGAGAGTATTACAAATAACACAATGTTTATCGCTTTTGAGATCGCACCTTGTTATTGTCAATCGACCAAGTGTGAGACTATTCTATTCGGGCTATCATAATTAATTTTCCACGATATCTATTGGTGTAACATGGACTAAAAATACCAAATATGGTAAATGAAGGAAGAGGCACTCTCACGTACTAGTGCTGGAAACCCAGTCTCCTCGCAAAGAAAAGGTAGCAAGTACACAAACACAAAAAGTTAGATATATCCATTTTATTTTATCTTCTTCGCCCTCAGACAATGGCGAACCCAAGAATTTTGACCACACAGTTCAAGAACATCTTCATGGCAGTAATTTAAAAGTTTTTTGTGATTACTACTACAGGTTCTCCAACTATTGTTCTTCTTGCCTTCCAAAATGCGTATTTATATCTTTTATTATAGAGTAGATAAAATTTAATAAGTTGTGTGAGTGATACAGAAACGATTCCTTTCCATCTGTATACAAACCTTACATTACCATTTGTATACAAATGATCCTTAAGCCTTCGTTAAAGCTACAAATCAAAGCATTGAGTAACTAAAGAGTTAGTACTAGCTCAAATGCATTGCGGATATGCCGATACGATATAGGAATAAACACACTTTACAGTAAAAAAGCTGCACCAAACGATTCTTTATTTAAACGTATATGCGCGACACTACAATAGAGTGACAACGCTACTGTTCCTCGGTCGCCTTCTTAGTCTCGGCCTCAAAATCTTCTACTAATGCAGGAATTTCATCGTCATCAGCACCTTCGCCTGCCACATGTTGTGATGCTTGGGACAGGGTTGCATTAAGCTTCTGAAGTATTTCAAGGTTCGATTCTGCACTCTTCTCCTCGGATGCACCTTCGATCACAAACGTATTGGCATGGAGCGATGCTTGAACTGTGGTCAAAATTGAGTTGAGGATAAGTCGATTGACAAAAATATTCTGTGCAGTATCCATCCGACTAGGGAAAAAATTTTTTTTATCCTAATTGGTGCAACGATTTCTTCCGCGCATATTTACCTTTCGGCGCACGGAAATGAATTGCGCTTCCATCATCCCTGTACATATTCACCTCGTCAATTTGTTGGATCGGATGAAGTTTGAGCTTATTAAGAGCAGTTTTGAGTTTCTTATCATCGTTTGTAGTGCTCTTGTGAACTTTCTTCATCTTACGACGTGGTGATCCCTTTCCGCCTGACCCACGAGCAGAAATTCAACCGTTCAATGTGATTGACTTTGACAGAAATACATTGCATTTTCCAATAAACTCACCAATACGGACTTGGGCTTGCATCTTGGCTAGCCTGTCAGCGTTCATTTCTACGTATTTTAAATGACGGGTCGGTTAGTTGATTTTAAATATGGATCCACACCGTACAACGGGAAGACAGAGAATGTCGTTCCACCCTGATAAGAATATAGATGTAAGGAAAATTTTTTCCCATCACAAGTAAAGCAGATTTATTTCACGTGATTAAAGTTCTAGCCGAATTGATATCAGAAGGTTTCCCATCAAGTCGGACTCGTTCGACAAAAATGGAAAGTCATGCGGATGGATATCAATGTAGCGCTCGACCGCTAGAGATGACTTTGAATTCATTATCATCATGTCTGAGAACGATCCTACAGAAGCATCCTCTTCGGCTAACGATCTTTCAGAAGCAGCCACTGAAAAGACTTTCCCAATTACTATATCAAAGCTACTGGTAATAGCAAAGTTTGAGTTGGTCATTCATTGTGTGGTTGCTCAAAGCTGGTTAAAACTCTTCCCTTAGTCCATGTTCAGCGAAGCTAAGACAAATGAAAAGGTTTACGTGTTGAATCCGCCAGAACTTGAAACTGTGGCAAAGTTGATAAAGACGGGGGGAGGTTAGAGTCTTAACAAGACGGTGTTCCTCTTGTCTTGTGATGTTTATAATTTTAACGCCTCGTTTTTTTTACGTTGCAATGTCTTAAATAGCAAAGAATATTATAGTAATGGCAGGCGCTGGAATATCAACTGATGCTGGTATGCATTCACATAAAGAGTATGCAGATCGTTAGCTTTGCTGTTAAAAGCTTGTTCTCTATAGGTATTCCGGATTTTCGATCGCCTGGTACCGGTCTATACGACAATCTTCAAAAATATGACTTGCCCTATCCTGAAGCCATATTTGACATGGAATATTTTCGGGTGAGTTAGTCTCTGCACTGTTTGATTGTGAAACTCATTCGGTAGCGTTGCCAATATTAATTTATTCATCTATAATTTAGCTCAGACCAGAACCGTTTTTTGAACTAGCAAGAGAATTATATCCAGGGAAATACTTGGTAAACTTGAATGCGAGGACTTTTTTTTATCGAGTTTTCAGATCTATTATACGATTCTAAAATATCATCTCTTGCGCGCACAGCCAACAGCAACGCACTACTTTATAAAGCTCCTTCATGATCATCAATTACTTCTCCGTTGCTTTACTCAGAATGTAGACACTTTAGAACGCCTTTCTGGAGTACCCGATCACAAATTAGTAGAAGCACACGGTTCGTTTGCGGAATCCAAGTGTCTTAAATGTAAAAAAATGGCAGATCCAGTATGGATGCGAGAAGCGATCTTGAGTGGTGAGATTCCAAAATGTCCACATTGTCAGAAGGGCATTGTTAAACCATGCATAACATTCTTTGGAGAATCTCTACCCGACAAGTTCTTTCTCCATATGCAAGTAATGTATCATAGAATATGCTTGTTCAAGTGAATAACGTTACGTTTAACGTTTTGGATTGTTTAATTTTTCCAACCAACTTACAGCTTTGCTTTTTCATTTTAGGATTTCGAAACATGTGACTTGCTTATAGTAATTGGTACATCATTACAGGTGCAACCATTTGCTAGTCTAATCGATAGTGTTGGTTCAAAGGTTCCACGTCTATTAATCAACCGTGACGCTGCTGGAGTGGTACGTCATTTTTGAGCATTGTATGGGACTGAACAGTGAAATTTCAGTATTCAAGCAATTGTGATCTCTTCCTTAGTACGGTGTCGCCGGATATGGTTTTGATTTTAAAGGGAAGTATAAATACGTGAGGGATGTTTTCTATAAGGGTTCATGTGACGAGGGAGTGCGCAAACTTGCCGAATTGTGTGGATGGAAGGTAAAAAAAATATATCGTGTTTTTTCTTATTTGATATTCTATGGATTATTTACTCACAACTATGATCGTGCCCACTGAGCAGGATGAATTAGAGACACTGCGCGCTACCGGTCATACTGAATTGAGAAAACAATATGGTTTACCTCCTAGTATTTCCTCTCAGCTAAAGAAAGAAGATATTGGAGTGGAGATATTAACCGAGGAATTTGAGAAGAAAGCTGTAATTAAAGATACTGAGAAGGATAAAGAAGTGGTAATCAAAGAATCGACAAAAGACGTAAATATAATAACTCCGGGAAATCCGGGAGAACGCATTAAGGAAGAACACATTAAGATAGTAGAGACGAGGACAGAAGAAGGAAATCGAACAACGGTATCACTTGCATCGGAAGTCGAGATCTCGACAGCTAAATCTGCTGATATTACAAAGTCTGCCGACTGAACTTGTAATCTTCCAACTTGCATCTGACAAGACTTCATTGTAATTGCAAATGGGTAAACTGTTGTACATCTTATTAATGATTATATTAATGATTCAACTTGGCTACTAATATAATCTCGATGAATGTAACCAATCAACATACTTTAATATTATTAGCACAAGTTATATATAAGCATACTGTACTTACAACATGAAGACGACATAATACAAATTTACAATAAACGTATTAATCCACCTCGTGATATATATCAAATTCCTCAACGTCGTGTACTGAAGCAAAACGTAGGATTAAATGTAGTATACATAATAATGTAATGGTGAGGATTTCTGCCTTGAAAATTGGTCAAGAGGAATCGCGTCTAAGTGCGAACCCTTGGTTTGCTTATTGTAGAGACAATGAAACGTTATTTTTATTTTCCTCTTAATAAGGTTAGATGGAATGCGCAGCCGAGAGGGGAGCCTTGTCGTCATATTCGATAGCGTGAATTAAAAATGACAAGCATTAATCTCACGTTGTCCCGAAAAGCAAAACAGAATTGTCGCTGATCAGAACTCTCAAGTTTATGGTCGGGCTGATGGTTTTGATCGTTAGGTTCAGATACAGTACCTCTGAAAGATTGGCTGTCTAACTTTTCTTTGACACGTTTTCCAGTAGAATTCAAAGTTTAAGTTTGCAACTTATTTATTTAGGTGAACTATGTTCAAATTGCGAAAAGCGCAAATCTCTTTCCTAATTCTTTCGTTACATAACAATTGAGTGTTTTAATGATCTGATACCTCTTACAGCAAATCGCATCTGAAATTTCTAAATGTATCTTCGATCTGAAAGAATATCCATATCTTTGGTGTACTGCAAAATCGGCGTGAGTAATATTTGCGTCGACGGTTGAGGGTTAAAAGTCTTTACAATCATATTTCAATGTAATTATGTAACGCTATGGGGGGTGACGTTGTTGTATTACAGTAATCTTATTATAAATATTATATAGCTACTTTCGCTTTTTTTATGGTTCACGA